GGTGTCGGCGAGAGCGAGAGGAAGGGACACCGGCCGTCTTCACCAGCACGCAGCTACACCATCTCCATCCCAGGTCCGCGCCAAAAGTGTCACGACATTCAAACAATTCTGTTCGCGCCAAGGGACGTTACAAATGTTTGTTTTCACATGGGGAAGTCTGGTGATGGTGTCATCGAAGATTGTGGATGGACGGTTGAGTACAGTCCTCAGCCCAGCTCTTCAGCACCTGTGACTTGTCCCTTGGGATTCATTTGTCTGTCAGAGCTGAACAGCGGCGCGGGTCGTTTGCCGCAGACCACCCTGAGTGAGGTGAGGAAATGATCCATATCGTGGTGAGCGGCATGGCTTTGTAGTTCTTCAGTCTCTCGATCCATCCCAGCTTCTTGGACTATTCGCAGTCGCAGCCCTAGTTGATTAACCGTCTCGGACAGGCGAGTTGCGCGCGGAGGAGAAAAGAGGCATAGATGCCGAATCTGAAGATTCCATCCACACGACACTTCAGCCTCTATGAAATCTATGCTGGGCGTCTCATAACAGGTTATGCTGCTCCAGGAAGCGCATTGTTTCTCGCCTAATTATTTTTTCCGTAATTTTACGACAAATATAAATAAGGCTGATTGGTCTGTAGTTGTTTGCTACGAACTTGCTACCTCCATTATACAGTGGTGTAATCCGTGCAGATTACCAGTCGGCGAGCAAATAGCCTGCTTCGAACGAGGCTTGGAAGGGCACGGACATCGGTTTAGATAGTTATACAGTGAGTTCTTTCAACTATTTGGGCAGTATGTCATCCGACCCAGGTGATTCAGATTCATTCAGCATGAACAGTTCCTTGCGAAAAACAGCTTCGGCAAAAGAAGCAAACGCAGTCGACCATTCCACTATGTCGCAGTCGGGAGGAATTAATGCGTTTTCCTCCGTAAAGATAGACTTGAAAAATTAAGGAACGTGCTCTAGCTTTTCACTAGCTTGCAATGATGGGATTGAGTCTCCGTTTCACTTGCTCCTTCTTGTGTTACCATAGAATAACTTCGAATTTTCAGTAGGTCTTCATCGGAAGCACGCCGTGTTGTGAGGATTAGTTTCTTAACCAGGTTCCTCTGTGCTTTGTATGTCCTTATCGACACAGAATACCTGTCCGAGAGGATTCTTCTTCGATAACCTTCGCTTTTTATTCACGTCTATTTTTAAAGCATGCGTAAGTCATGGAGGACTGTTGTTCAGTTTCTACCGTGGTATAGGGCAGTGGTCTCTAAGGAGAATGTGTAATAACTCACTATAACAGTCCCAACCCTTGACTCTCACCGGAAAAAGCTGATTCCCAGTCTATTGTGTTTTGTTCGGCTTTCATTTGATCAAGGTCGTCGTGCCAAATATTTATTCAGCAGACTTCAGTACATTCCCTACTAGAATAAATTTGACGCTAACTGCCGTGGCTTAGGGGCATGCCGAACGTCTGTTGTATTGGTGAAACCCTGGTTATTCGTACGTCGACCAGGGGATGTGGCGGCACGCCTAGGCGCGGACTCATATCATGCCGGCCGCCAGTATCCTCTTCAGCTTCCAGTCTTCTTGACTATTTCAGGACACCTGGTCTAGGTAGAAGATAATGCGGTAGATGCCGCACAAATTCACAATCAATACAAACGAATGCACACTCAGGTTACCGTAACTGCGTCCATCATGTTGTGAGGCACACAATGGCCTACATCGTTAACGACCGTCTGATGGCGTTGCATCTACCTCGTCGTTGAGGAACATTCGTCATCCTCATCAGTGTCTACATCCCCACAGTGACCAACTCCGATAAGGAAGGGAACAAGTTCTAGGAAGACATGCATGCCTTTTGACGACTGTGCCGAAGGCGGAAAAACTGACGCCCATTCGTGGCTAAGATTTCCGCGACAAGACGGACAACGCCGCCTGGGAGGAGCGTTAGGTCCCCATGGACTCAGACGCTGCAACGATAACGGCCTCATTCTTCTGGAAATTCGTGCAGAACGCAGTCTCCCGCTGATCAGCATATTCTCCCGTCTTCTGAAGCGGCAAGAGGCAACCTGGATGCACCCCAGATCACGGCGCTGGCAGCTGTTGGGCTGTGATCCGTCGGGAGGTGAGATCAGCAGAAAGTGCTCATAGCAAAGATGATCCGCGTCGCCGATGGCCGGACGGATCACCGCCTAGTTGTCTCCAAGACGAATGTCCGAAAATAACTTCACGGAGGTCCACAAGGTAGGCGGCCATCAGGTAAGTTAAACACTTATTTGCTGAATATGTCTGCTGGAAGACCTGCAAAATCCAGATGACAGTGCCATCGCAGATGAAGTCGTCTTGAGCAGAAACCACTGTGAGAGATTCCGAAATCCAGGATGAATTGAATAGACGGTGGAAATTCGCGGATACGTGGATCACAATGAGACGAAGAACTGCCTCGTCTCAATGACCACAGTACACAGCACTCAAACTAAGGGAGCCGTACGCCTTTTTAGATCTGACGAAAAAATACGCCTCATGGAGGAATTGCAGATTCCGAAGGCTTGAGCTCAGAACTCCAGAAGCACCCTTGACTGCCCATTCGTTATATACGACCCACCGTCCACGGACTGTCCCAAGTAGAATCGGACAACGAAATGGACCTCTCACCCTGCCTACCAGAAGCCATCAGAGCAGTATAACAAATCTCGGCTGGGAAGCCTTGAGATCCAACTCTACCTCAGCCCAATTATACGGGCATGGCGGTCCCCGAATGACGGACAGGCATGCAACGATATTCCGGGAGATGTGGCAGCAGGTAAAACTTCCCTAAGATTTCAAGCACGCGACTATTTTTCAATTCTACAAGAGGAAAGGGAACTGTCAAAACTGCGTCAACCACAGAGCCATCTACATTCTCAACATCGCCTGGAAGAGCTTCGTTCACACCCTTCTCAATCGTACTAACAGGCGCCTGGATCAAACTACTTCTCTCCGAAGACCAGTGTGACATCTGACGACGCCACGGGACAACTAACTTGATCTTCGCGCCCGCCAACCGCAGGAGTAGTGTCAAGAGACGTAGATACACCTCTTCTCTACCCCGTGGATCTGACGAATGCCTTTGCGAAGACTGTGGAAAATCACGCATACATTTGGCTGTCCCAAACGATTCACTCAGACGGTGTGTCAGATCCACGATGGCATGATGACGCGAGTAACGGACAATGGAGTTGTCTCAGAGGCATTTGCAGCGACCAACGGAGTGAAGCAGAGCTGCGTTCGGTAACCATCGGGAGATGGCACCCAAAAGAATCCTCCTAACCAAAACAGCCTGTTTTACGTGACAGGTGGTAATATGGGCTTTATTGGTGGTGGCTGGTCGGGATGTACGATACTAGCCGACGGAAAGCCCTATTTGAACAGGTGAATGATTGAAGTCGGCTCGCTCTCCGTTCCGTTATTACAAAATGGGTCGCCAAAGTCAGTATAGTGGTAACGGACGAGTGAAGGGGTAAAATCGTCTTCCCTCAGAAGGTTATCTACATTTCTCTGTTAACCACTCTAAGAACTTCAAGGTCCCTACCACCGGACGGCACATCAATGCCATTGAGGCATATTGGAGTAGACTGAAAACGAAACTCCACGAGGGAGGCCCTGTATGTGGTCGAGCTGTGTGGGTTCACATAGACGAAGTGCAGTATCGTCTTCAGTTTGGCCTCAATGCCATGTCTTTGACAGATGCCTGGGAACTGTTCCTGTCCCAATGTTGTGCAGACTTATTCTATTTACAAGCGTTTTTGTTTTGTAATAAACTGCCATAATGCGAATGTATGCCGTATATTCAGGTGTACGTGTGTAGCGATGGGGAAGGTTGGGTAACAGCGAACATTGTCCATGTAACCTCCTGCGAGGTTCGTTCGGTCAGCCCATGTTAGGCCGTCGCGGAAAGTCCAAGGAGTGCGTGAAAGTAGGCCTGTAACCGCTGACAGCCTGAAGGCGTTTGAGTCCACTGTTAAAGGTATTATTTCTATGTAACGGATTTTTTTGGATGCCATCTCCTGATTGTTACCCTGCGTTCTCGCGACTACCCTCTTCAGTCTCATATTCTCTGCCATGCTGATGGACGTCGACCGTGATGAACGCCACGGAATCCGTGTCACCAACTAATTCACGCGCAAATCAGTGTGCCTGCTGCACCTTGCTGTGTAGCGCACTGTGGACATCGTCGGAGTCGGAGGTCGAACTGTCGGGTGCACATCTTGGCAAACGGGCCTGGAGTGCCCCTAGCCCAGGCAACTGTCGCGATGCTGGGTCGCTCGTGCGTGTCGGCACTCGCGCACCAAGACTGTCCAGCATTTGCCCACTCGGCTTTCCAACGGACCAATCAGATTCAAGGCTGGGTCAGACGTGCATTGCCATAAGACGCCTTGACCCATTCCCCGGCTGGCACTTGGGAGGCTGCTATTCCGGCGCTGGACGCTGCCTTGTCGGGCTGATAACTTCCCCAACCCCTTTTCCAGTTATTCTGTACAGAATGAGCAATCGTCTCAACTGGTGTCCATCGCTTTCCATTCAGAACCAGGTCTGAAAGTCGTGGTGGCCACGGTTTCCCTCTCGGCCTAGATTTCTACGATAGGCCTATACAATGATGAATGCCCCGGAACGTTGTGGGCGAGTTAGACGGAAGAGGGTGGTGCAAGTCAGGAGCTCTAGCGCTTACTTTTCGATCAGGACGTGATGGATTTATAAGCGACTTGTCAGGCTATTGGGTTGTACGAATATGTGGTTACAATGATGAGACACTGAAACTTAGGTCCTGACTGTCGTTGAAAGGGACAACGATTGTGATAGTGGGTGGAAAAGCTAGAATTCCTTCACCGGTGGTTGTGCCTTTTAATATTAGGGGTCAGTGCTGAGGTTGCACTGAGTCTAGAGATGTCCAATGGGGTCAATGCGTCTTCTGGATACCCCAGTATTCTGTGAAAGGAGATTGCGACTCCTTCGTCGTTATTATCAAGCCACTAATGATACTTATCGTGCAATCCGCCGAGGGTCTCCAGAGCAGTGGAGTGGATGGAATCACGCTGTTTTCTCCAGTTCTCCTCAACAATGATGTTTGCGTGCAGGACCTGGTTCGCGAGACAGGTGAAATTCTGTCCATATCCAACTGTATTCATTAATGCAGTATTTACCTTGGCTGATGCTGTCTTACCGTGTTATCGCCTGCGGGACTGCATTGGAAGCCTCATTTAGGAGATGACGGAACGGAGGTTCGTCCATCAGTCGTCAGCACACATCGCTGTGGCCAGTAGCACGAGGCGCTAGTTACGCCTCCAAACGAGGATGCAGCTCATCGGCTGCCGGAGACGCGAGTGAATGTACATCCACGTCGTCTTCTCTCGGTTCGATAGGCGGGGACTGGTGTTGGCCAGAAGACGACTGTATTCCGTCTGTCAGGCCTGGCAGACGGCCACGATGGACGTCGACGCTTGCCACGGTCGATGCGTCACCATAGAAGGTCTATCAATTTTACTGACTATCAGGTTATTTCTCGATCTTGGGTATCCATCATCGAAATGTTGTCTGCTGCGTGGTTGACTGAAAGCAGGGATTGGTTACGTCTATAGTTAAGCCGACTGGATCTCGTAAAGACTCACCTAGTACGCGCTTCAGCTGGTCATGACTTTTCAAGAATGCAGTCCTAGAAATGCTCCGATTCTAATAAATGAAGAGCAAGTTTTGACACTTTAATCCTTTATAACAGTTTTGGGTGAGAATGTCACGATGAGTTCCAACTAGGAGCACGCTGCTGCTGGGTAAGGTACCGTACACTAATCTGGACAATTTGCTTTTGAATCAAGCATGCCTTCTTTAAAACCCATAGGAGTATGCAGGGGTTCTGATTTTTTGGGGTTTCTGCAGCCAAACCAGCTCTGCGTATAACAATTTACAGGGTCGTGGTGATCTAAAAAATGTTTAGTTGGTATAGCGGCGTGAATCTCGTATTTCATGCTGAAGGCGTCCAGAGAGGCTTGAAGTGTGTTTTCTGTTGGCAGGGTCGCCAGTGCCATGTGCCTGCATGGGGTGAAGTAATGGTGAGCTGTAGTGTCCGAAAACCCAGCGATCTGCGATCATTTGTCTTGGGTCTCAGGGTGCGCACTATGGTGTGGTTCACTCAATTCAGTTTCCCTATTGACAAGAGGAATGAGATTAGCGCAACGGTTCGCAAATGAACCCACGTTGCCAGTTTATTTGAAACCGAAGTGAAGAAAACCACCCTTTGCACAATAACAGTGAATGACCGATCGCATGAAATGCTGGCCGAAATCCTGAAATGTGTTTTCGATTTGGAAGGATTACTTAGGTGGGGTTGTAATAAAGATGACCATGCGACCTCATCCAGTAATATTTCGGACTTGCCGGGATGTCGGCTTTTGAATGCACTTCTTTTCGACTTCCTGTAAAAACCGTACATGGCTGCCGTACATGGCTGCCGTACATGACTACTTAAGTAGCATGTACTTCTCACCCTAGTTTTCGATAATCTTATAAATTAAAATATAGTTTGTAGAAACCATGCATAAAATGTGCTTTCTTCTACTCATTTAATGGAAAATCATGTGGACTTTACAGTTTATGCTTGAAGACAGGGCATATTTAGGTTTTAAAAAGTTTTCAATTTCCGAATTATTTAAAGCCAGATCCGTCGTTGCATTTGCGTTTGGCGATGTCATTCTACGAGGCGCATGCTTTCCTCAAAAGAAAAATAATTCATTCCTCTATGCCTTGAAGAAAATACCATTTAGCGTTCACGAAATTTTGCAATGAGTGCGGACTTTGTTGTACATTAGCAATTGTAAACAGACAGGTACTATGATGTATGAATGCACATTGCGCGGTCTTAAAAATCATATAATTAAAAACTTCTTTAAGACCTTAATATACCCGTCTTTAAACATAAAATGTAAGTTCGACGTGATTTTCCATCAAATGAGTAAAAGAAAGCGCATTTTATGCATGGTTTCTATAAACTATATTTTAATTCATAATATTATCCAAAATCAGGGTAAGAAGTGCATGCTACTTAAATAGTCATGTTCAGCAGCCATGTACGGTTTCTAAAGGAAGTCAAAAAGAAGCGCATTCAAAAGCCGACATCCCGGCAAGTCCGAAATATTACTGGATTATGTCACATGGTCACCAGTATTACGACCCCACCTAAGTAATCCTTCCAAATCGAAAACGCATTTCAGGATTTCGGCACATTTTTTGCATGGTTTATATAAAATCTATTTGAATTTACAAGACTATCGAAAATCAGGGTGAGAAGGGCATGCTACTTAAGTAGTCACTCTTTACCATGTACGGTTTCTACAGAAAGTCGAAAAGAAGTGCATTCAAAAGTCGACATCCTTCCGAGTCTGAAATGTTATAGGTTTAAGCCGCAAGATAATCAGTATTACATATCCGTCTAAGTAATCTTTCCTAATCGAAAACGCATTTCCGAATTTCGACCAACATTTCATGAGATCGGTCACTTGCTATGACCGTTAGGCACACCTTTTTAGCTCGTCAGCTAAATAGTTTTATCTTGACCAGTCAATCAGTTATCCAGTTTCAATTCGAATTCTCGTTCTGCCTGTGGGGTTTTTCAATTCTATGACATGTACGGATGTCACCTGCAGTCGGGCCTGGATAGCGCACTGGACGCAGTACAGTCTTGAAATCATAATATCCCGAACAAATGCCTATTTTAAAAGGCAGAGGGAATCATTTACTGTTGAGTATTTCATACACATTGAGTTCTCCTTTTCCTGCCTACGCACTGCACGATTCGCAAATAGAGGCTGATGCTAGGAAATGTTCGGATTGTTTAATTTACCGAATGGAAAAGTCCATTGGGATTGATAATGTCTATGTACATTGCAGAGTTTCCAGAAGAAATATTGGATCAAACAAAGAAGTGCACTTCTTGCTTTGGCACAGCTTTAGGCCCTTCAAGCCCACGTAAATAAAAAGATTGCCCCTAAAAGGGGCCACGTAGGAGATGTGGTGGACAAGCATGACGAACAGATTAGGAAGCGACACACGTTAACGGGACAAAAATGTCGCGCACAGATAATGAGATTGTAGATCTGGGTGCAAGTTCACGCCACACCAGCAACTGCATCCGATTCCCGGATCAGATAGGTGGTCGGTTTTGAGGGTGGAATAGTACATGGAGGAAGAAGAGAGTGTGAGGACGAGTCTGACGACTCTGTTACTACGGCATTCAGCACATATTCCTCACTATAAACCATTTGAGGAGCTTATAGCCTATCATGGTGCGCTTAAATCCAGTTGATGGGTTAACTTGGTCCTCCTCACAAGACGGAGATGCAGGCTGCAAGGGCTCCTTCTTAATGCGGCCTCTATGGCATTCCACCCCAGATGAGATCAGGGCCATCCTTTTCCAGTTTACGCGAAAACCTACTCCTTTGTACTCATACCATGCGTGCGTGGCACACGTCGCTTACTTCTTCCAATCCCTATGCTCGACCTCTCTCACGTTCTTCTCGACTCAGTCCTCACACCTAGCTGAGGTGGGCAGGGGAAGAAAGTGTGACAGATGCATCGCAAGCCTGCTATCACTGTAGACAGATTCGCGCGCAAGCCACCACCAGTCTGTGCGTCACGCGATGTACATCGTCGGTAACTCCGGTCGAACTTTCATTTGTGGGCTGATGTGTTTTCCACCTCCGTGGAACGAAGCCTGCGTCTTTACCTGATGCCTAGGGCCACTACCTAATAACAAATAATCTGGAAGCAATTTGGCAATGACAATTCGTCGGTGGGAATCACCATTGTGCCTTTGTCAGGTGGCGTTTTGTATGTTGTCTGGTTGCCTGTTCAGGTTGAGGGAGCTCCTGTTTCTGTGTATTTCAGCCACATACACGTTAACATAAGGCAGGCGTGATGCTTTTGTTTCCAAACAACCATCTTTTCGCGAAACATAACTTTCCTATGCAGTATTGATTTTTTTATATAAAATACAACCAATAAGCCATTGGTTGTAATCCGATCACGTACAACTGGTGTGGTCACAACGGAAAGATGTGGGAGCTGAAGGTCCTAGTGAAGCTTCCTCGACAGACATATTAAAAGTGTATGAATTTACTTTTGAAGCATCAAATAACAGTCGATTTATCCGAATCCAAAGTCATCATGTTTGTTGAAACACAGTCGAGTTTCGTCAGTATTATCGATCTCATGTGAAGTCAAACTCCCAAGAAGCGTGGAAAGGCTTGCTGATTTTTTATATTGAGCACTTACATCGTAAGCACAGTCCTTCTCAGCGTTATGTTAACGTCCATATCCAGCACGATTTTCCATTGATACATGCAAATACCTGCTGCTTTAAGGTCCGCATGGCCCAATCCTTCAGACAAATCTCCAGAATCGGCTCTTGACTCTGATCCACTAGCAAACTCCCTCGGTCCACTTAGCAGAGGGCTATAAACTAAGGACTTTGCAATTTTGCGTCATTTTTCGTTTTTTCGATCGCAGTGTGTAAAACCTTTAAAAAACTTAGTATTTACATGCAAATTTATTACGTACAGCTGTGCAAACAGTCCAAAAATACCACTATTGGAATAGCATTCGCATTAGTTTAAGTGGAATTGTTTTTAAGATTATTTCTACCTGGGGCGGACAAGCTATCTAAGTTGGGTGTCGCGTTATTGATTTGCCGTTCGTTGCCCTCCAAGAAAAGCGCACTCCTTGGGAAGTTTGATCGAATATTTGACCACACGAGAACTTGTTTATTTTGTTACGTGGGCCTTCTCAGCTAGCTGGCGACTATTGACCTACGCTGTTTGTCTTGTTGTTTGGTCTAATAAGCAAATTCTATTGGTTATCGCTGCCCCTTCTCCTGGCATTTTAACCGTATGCAAGCGGATAACGTGGTTGTGCGAATATACTGACCGAAGTTCATTTATAACCAACCCACGGAGACCGAATTACTGCCCGATGCAAACCTACGACGACGTCGGCACTGGACGAGGCTGTAGCGACTCAAGATACACCCCTCCTGATGCAGCTACTGTCAAGTTCCCCCACTACGTAACAACCAGTCCCTGCTTTGTCTGTCAACGTTTGCACGTTCTGGTCCTTGTCTGCAAGGCCTCATGATCGACCTGGTGAATTGGATTAGGTAGCGCAGGAGCTATGTGGACCACTACACTTGATCGAACTTGCGCCCATCAGCAGATTTTCTTCCCCATCCGCAGTCAAGGCTATGTCCGCCGGCCTTGTCGCTCTGATCTCTGACTTAGTACAACCAACTTCCCAGTTAGGCAGAGTAGCTCCGGATAACAGACTGTGATAACTGGCCGTTGGACCAATTCACCTATCGAAACTACTGCACTGGCAATGTACCCGAGACCATCGAAGATAAATCTGGAGACCTCAGGATACCCTGCCACTAAAAAGAGAGTAACCGTATTACGATGGGTCTGCTGGAGATTTTGCAGTTAATTAAGCTGGGATGACTGGTAGGTGCTTGGGAAGCAAACTATTGATCAGGGTGAACCGTGCAAAGGATGGATCCCCTGACTTCGGTGTCAAAACAGTCACCTCTTCACACGCGTCAGTATCCGCAGGTGCAAAGGCAAAGACGTCAGGAAGAGGAAAACACCTATACATCATTGCGTGATCCCTATCATCCGCCTCTTGTGACGTAAAAGGCTCTGGGGAGACACCTATCAACAGTGCAGCCGATGCCAAGCAAGGCCGTGCGCGGACAAGTGTGGCAGGACAGACCTGGGCAGTGTAGCCGCAACTAGTAGCCCCAGCGAAAATGCGACCAGAAATGAATTTTGAGATACGTCAGCAATCTACACACCGGTCGTGGCCCATGCGTCAGGCCGGGAGGAATGGGAGCCGTCGCCGCGACAATACCAATAGATAGCCTTGTAATGGTGGATGGATTCTCAAATTGTTTCCCGAGTTTCAATGATGGACTAGAAATTGGCTAGCGAGATCCAGTTCTCCCCAGAAAATAACACCTTTAAAACAATGCTTAATCATGAGTAAAAACACGACAGCCCTATAAAATGAACACTCTGTATATATAAAGTACATAAAACAGCATGATTTGCACATGCAAGTGCTAGAATAGCGCACCATAACACGCAACAGAGAAGGCTGACACAGACATGGCAAGGAAAGGGAATAGTCTTCACATTAATTTTTCTTGCATAAAATTTTCCACTGAGCAAATTGTGGAAACCTTAGAGGACTCGGTGGCACTTGAGCCAACGACAACAGGGGAGGGCGTTAAATGGAGTTGAAACTCTAGTTACCTGAGCAGCGAGGCTTCGAACAAGGGCCTTGAGCTTAACAATAATTAGGTTAACTAAAGTTTTGAAAATCTCTTCAAATGACTGATCATGTAATAAACACGCTCTGCACCTTGCGCTTCCTCACGCCGCACCGTTGATAGCCACTGCTCTAGACAGACAATTCGTCGACGCGGCAATATGAAACGTGCTGCCACAACAACCGCCCATAATGAAGTCAGTCTCCTCTCAAAGTACCGGGACGATGAATGTAAGGTTCTAAAGGCCACTCCATATTTTCCCTCGTGTACCAGAGCGGGCAGTCTCGTTTACTTTCCCTAGCGACAGGGGGGGGGAACACGAGGATAATTTGACACAATCGGAAATTTCAGAAATGCGTTTCATGTTTTTAACTCTACTGGGCACAGAGGAGACTCACCTACTAAACCAATCTGACATGCAGATTACTACTACTACTACTACTACTACTACTACTACTACTACTACTACTACTACTACTACTACTACTACTACTACTACTACTACTACTACTACTACCATCGCCACTACCACTACTTCTATTATTACTACCGCCACTACTAACACAACTGCTAATTAATGACTAATAAATGTCACTGCTACTACTACTACTACTGCTTCCACTACTACTGCTACTACTACAACTAGAACCGCTGCTACAACTACTTCTATTACTACTACCGCCACTACTAGCACTACTGCTAATTAAGGACAAATAGATGTCACTACGACTACTACTACTGCTACTACTACTACTTCGACTACTATTACTGGCACTGCTACTACTGCTGCTACTTATACTGCTAGCACTACTGTTGTTGTTGGTACGTGTTACTCCACAACCATAAGGCAGCCTATATCTTGGCCAGAATTTCGACAGTTGAGTGGATCAATTTAACTTTTGGCTTGAGAGAGTAAAGAGCGACAAGCTTTTCAAGAATAGGTCTTAGCACAAAGCATGTTGACGCAATGTGAGGTAATAAGAACGTTCAAGAGATAACCGTCGCATAATCATAATGTTGCACACTGCGGACACTGCCGGAATGTAAAAGGATGTACGGTTGCCACTTCGTTTCAGAATTTGAACACAATGTTAACCCAAGTCACTAATAGAAATCGCAAGTCGCGTCTCGTCCAAAGCGTCTTAGAATTTAGAGGAGCGTTTCTCATCGGGCCAGTACACTTATATCGGAATGAGCTACAAAGTGAAACGTGTGAGTCATAAGAGCAATCGATTACGGTTCGTCTATTCATACAAGCGGGGTGTGTGAAAAGGGACGGGGTAGAAGAGGAGGTAGTAAAGTGGAGTAGAATTGTCGAATATGCGCATTTCGTTGCTTGTTTGAGTGGTGTATTTCGACTACTGCAATATGCATGCCTGAATCGTAGCCTCCACAGAAACTCATTTGGCGTAAGACAGGGGCTCAGAGATGGAAAGGTTAATGCATTCACCTCCTATTCTGCGTCGCAGATGTTCTAGGTGTAATGTCGAAACACCGTTCGTTCACCTCAGTAATTGCGCGACAGTCCGATCGTCGGGTTCGACGATGTCCACCATGCGTTACACAGCAAGGTAAAGCCGGCACAGTGACTCGCGCGGGAATTATAGTGATAACAGACTTGCGCAGCATCTACTGTACCCTCTCTTACCCACTCCCCACCTGGACCCGCCGTCAAGACAGAGTCAAGAAGACCGGAGGCTGGGGGGGAGGGCACAGGTGGATGGCATGGTCGAGCCCGCACCTTGGCGTTCCACTCCACACCTCTGCTCCGAACAACGAATGACCAGGCTTTTGACCAACAACAACAAGGGTGGCGGCAGGAGTCCCAGTGTGTGCGACGTAGGTCGACAACCGGGTCTGCCGCCGCACCCCGAAATGTTGGCATTTGTTATGGTGCGTAATCCGATAATGCCTGCCAGAATTCGATATGGTCCCCGTATTGGTCCAGCGCATCTACCACGTGGCCCGTCTGGGGAGCAACCCGTAAGCACGCACAAATGGCAGCAATCGCATAGAAGGCGTCTGACTGTATGACTGAGCATTCTGCTTTCCCTACAAAAAAACACAAGTTTAAACTTTCTGTGCGGAAAAAATCTCCCCAGCCGACAGGCATAGTCTGCTGCAAGCATCGGACACCTTAAGGAAAGGCTTGCTTCTTATTGACTGGATTTCAGTCTACGCATGCGGTTCAGCCCATACCTTCGACTGACATTTGCTGGACATGAGGCTCAGGTTATTTCTCCCTCGGTACGTCTTGCTTCCAACGAGGGTGCATGAATTGCAACAGTCAAACTCTCCGGATTTGGTACTAACAAAGTCGTTGGTAGCATTGATAAGGTGCAATGTCTACCTCCCGTAGATCGATGTGACCACATTATACTGTTGTGGGATTATTCCATCTTTTCTGTGTCGAAACAAGCCGCCAGAGTTAGGAGGAATATTTGGCGCAGCGATTTTGAAAGTTGAAATAAACATCATGATTTGAGAATCAACCTTTTCCGGCGACATAGGCAAGGACTGGACTGGTTTAGTGAATTATAGCACATTCCCCTCGGGAATTACTGTCCGATTTCACGGAAGAATCTGAACAACCGACCACATGGCCAACACAAGGTTAAAAAGAAGTGAATAAAAAGCAGAGGTCATTGAGGAAATTCCTCTCGGGCAGGAACTCTGTGTGGATAAATGCATACAAGACCCCGAGGAACCTAGTTAAGCGACTAATCCTCAGGATACGGCGCACTTTCGAGAAAGACCAACCGAACCGGGCCGCAGAAAATCCGAAGTTATTCTATGGCTACACAAGAAGGAGAAAGTGAAACAGAGACCCAATCTCATTATTGAAAGCTAGTGAAAGTTAGTTAAGATGGAGCGAAGGCAGGGCACCTTTCACAATTTTTGAAGTCCATCTTTACGGAGGAAAGCGCATTTATTCCTCCCGACTGCGACTTAGTGGAAGGGCCAACGATTGAGACTGTTTCTTTCGCAGAAACCATTGTTCGCAGCGAACTTTTGACGCTGAATGAATCTGAATCCCCTGGATAGGATGACATACCGCCCAAATAGTTGAAAGAACTCACTGTATAAATATTTAAACCGATGTCCATTCTCTTCCAAGCCTCGTTCGAAGCAGGCTTTTTGCCCGTCGACTGGAAATCTGCACGGATTCCACCACTTGATACAGGCGGTAGCAAGGTCTTAGCACACAATTACAGAACAATCAGCCTTATTTCTATTTGCTGTAAAATTATGGAGAAAATAACTAGGCGAGAAGTAATGTGCTTCCTTGGGCAGCATAGCCTGTTATGAGACGCCCGGCACGGATTCCGCAGAGGCAGATTATGCGTGACAAATCTTCTCTGTTGTTTAGAACGCTGGACTCGTGCAGTTGATGGCAGGAATGCAGTGCACGCAGTCAGTTTCGACTTTAAGGAGGCATTCGATAGTGTACCACAGCAGCGCTTCCCGTGCAAATGAAGCCGAACAGGCATTAAAAATAACCTCCTGAGGTGAATTCAAAGCTTTTTGATCGGTCGCTCTCAAATTGTCCATGTCGGTAACAGGCAGTCGGTGGTGGTTGTAGTTGAAAGCGGTGTTCCTGAAGACTCTGTCCTTGGCCCTACTCTGTTCATTATATGCATCAACGATTGTGTCAATGAATTGAGTTGCAATGTTCCCATGTCCACTGATGATGTTAAGCTTTGGAACGTCATTTGAACTGGACTTGACGAAGACGGCTTGCAGGCAAACCTGAGCCAGCTCTTGAAATGGTTACAGGACTGGCTTTTGCCGTTTAATGAGACTAAGTGCAACATTCTGCGAGCCTATGGAACCCGATCTCCCATCCGCAGAGTTTGCCACACAAATAGTGTACCATTGCAGGAGGTAGACGCCTAGAAGGACTTGGATGTGTGGGTCACGACTTCACCTAAACCGTCGCACCACTGCTCTGAGGTAGCTAAGTCTGCGATATCAGCCCTGTACCTCGTCAAGCGGACTCTCCCTGACCTCGATGAAGACTGCTTCACTAAAAAATCCTCCGAGCCTTTGTACGGACATAGATGGAGTTTGCTATTCAAGCATGGGAGCCTTGGTTCGTTAAAGACCTCAGCATCCTTTAGAAAGTGGAGTTTTTTTCACCGCGCGCTCATAATTTTTCTTAACGGACTACAAATGCAGAAACTATGAATTGCATTTTATACAGATTCTGCCTAGGTCATCTAAAATTCGTATGTAAATTTGTTTTTACTTATTTTGATGGGACCCCGACGGGTCTTTAAATAAATAATTTTTATTAAAGTTCAAAGGCATGCAGCCAAACTCGTTATTGGACAAGGTGCACCACCCTACGAAACACGGTCATCGAATTCCGGCCTTTTTCCTCTAAGTGACAGATAGCTGAGAGGCAACCTCACACAAACATTCCGTACCATTCGCTGTCAGGACTGATGTCTCTTACGAGCTGACTTCGTTGAGTTAGCAACCACAGCGAACCTCCGAGGTCATGCACTCAAACTACGTCTGACTGGCGCCAGGCTGGACATACGGGAGTTCTTCTCTTCCTGCTGAGTGGTTGAGGTTTAGAATGCTCTGCCTGCATATATCATCACGTTCACATCCGTCGAGGCTTTTAAGCGCAAGCTGAATCAGTATACCAGTGCACATCATAATGTCACCCGATGGACATCGTCTTAGCGTCCCGTTCTGACAACTTATTATCGTTATAGTGTTACTGTCATGATTTCAGTAACGTTTATTTTTAATTTACTTACTGACCCGCGTTTATTGCACGCGATGTTGGCATTCACGTCGTCTCCCTCAGGTAACTGAGATCGTACCAACTTTATACAGCACACTTATCACAAACTGACTGCTGCACAGTGCACTTAGCAGTGTTTATGTTTATAGTACCTGGAATAGTTCGTTCGTCTGTACAGCTTCGGTAATTCCTCGTTAGCCGTTTGATGTTTCCGTCTTCAAATTTTTGATATACCTCCGTACCTTGTAACAAATACGGAGTTCACAAGTTCAACACCTACGCCTCCCTTAAATAAACTGGACTGAGTCATCCAGAGTACGTTTCTTTTCATCAGGGAAGCGCTCTCTGTGGCACTGACAGTCGTTTCTTCATGTAATTATTCACTACGGTATGCTACGTCTTTGAGCGTCGTCCGGCCTGTCTACTACCACGAAGCATTGCAACCAACGCCAAAATCTCGACTCGCCCCAAAATTTGCTAGTCGTACTCCTCTCCGCATTCGTAAAGGCCAAACAATGACTGCAGTTCGTCTATGTCGGGAAAAAGTCGGTTTCTGAGTGCCAGTCACAGTATTGGAGTCACTCAATCGGTCAGTGGTGATAGGTACTTCAACACAGCGAAGAAACTCTGGTACATAATGTGGCGTTATGATCGGGGGACTGTCACTTCCTGATCACTTTGTGATAGAACCTTCTTCGTGCTAAATTTGTACTATCTCATACGAAAAATTCGATCGATCTGCTCGATGTTGTCGAAATTCTAGCCAAAACGGGCGACCCTGTAATTGTGGAACATACTGCTAGAATCATGCCACAGGCTACTGACGAGAAAGAGGAGACTGTTGCGATGCACGGTACGACATACGAACATCAGCAAAATACTCATCAAGCCCACGAAAAACAGATGACTTTTTTTGGACAAGAACGTATATTCTTACAATAAAAGTGGAATAAAAAGATGCGAAAACAGCAAAGTAGCAAAAAGGGACTTCAGCTGTTGTAGCTCTTTAGGTTCCCCAAAATAATATCATCATCTTTATGTTCGACAGATCCACAGATTCCTAAAATAAATAGCAACAGATAATTAAATTAAATGGAAAATGAAACAGCAAGTAGAGTGCGGAGGGGAGCAGTTGTGGACAAAGAAGAGTAGATTAACTGTTGTCTGAAAGCCGTGGTTTTTAAACTAATCCTTGAGGTAAAGAGGGACAGGGGAAAAACGGTGCTGACAGACTGAGGCCCTCTTCCACCGAGTTAAGAGGCAGCCGATCAAGCAACAGGAGCATATTTTTTCCTTCCATCGCTGGACTCTCATCTTACTCAGGGATTTGGTCGTGCCTGGTCTAGTCAGCATAAAGTTTCACGGAGTGTCTTGGAATTCTTCAGAATTCGCGGGTCCCCAACAGCCACCCAGCACGGTGACATCAGTCGTGTTCAGTGGCTATGGGGGATACACAAACACACCTCAACATGCCTGTTCGCCCATAGGACCGACTACCAACCGCTGTCTCGGGCGTACAGTAAGTGACTAAGTTCAGGAGAGTCATTGGGGGAAACAGTTGAAATTGCATGTTTTTGAATGGAATGGCGCGCGGGGAGGGCCGTTGGCGGCGAGAGGACATTCAACTCTTCACCCAAAAGTTTTCAAAACTCGGTCACAAAGAATCACCCAGAAATGACTTGATAAGCGCGAGTGTAAAGGCACCCAGAGCTGCCTACTAATAATAGGCACATTGGTCAGTATCCTCATACATAACAGAGGAGGCAGTATCGTCCATTATAATCGTTCAGCGGGAAAGTACACAAACCTAGGAAACTTGAGTCTGAAGGCATCAAAAGTTTGAATTTCTCAAAGTGTCAAATTTATTGGCTTTTTAAAACTAGTACTTCTGTTAAACTTTCCCTCGCCCTCCCCACCCCCAAGCTGCTTGCAAAAAGAGTGGACATGATTCGTCGAGGCAGTGATTCTACATGACGCCAGATGCGAGGGGTTCAGCTCATCGCTGGGTTCTCCAGTGTTTACCCTGCTGTTCATGACAAGCAATTACTCCGATTTTCCAATGTTAGGTCTTTACCTTCGATAGGAGTTAATGCGAGCATGCCGTTCAGTTCTCGAGGCAACCGATGTCGCATTTGGCATGAAAACTGACATGAATGCCTAACTCGTAGTGCATCAGCTTCGGTGCAATAACCATGAAGTACACGCGAAGAAGGTTGGGGGACCTGAGACTGTAGAAATTGCAAAGAAACACCAGTAGGGTCTCGGTGTGTACTCCACTAAAATACCTTCCTATAAAATGCCATTTTTGTGTACTTAGACAAAAATGCCGCACAAATACGCTTTTTCCCTTTTTATGTACTTAAGAACACAATGTTCCACCTCCCAAAGGCTCCCAGTACTATCATTTCTGCGTTGCAGGTGGCTTTGAGCCATGTCCCTATACGACCATTACTGTGTTGGCAACACGATAAAATGCCTACAAAGAAGGGGCGGCTCACCGATCGTACTACGTGACCTACTCGTTCCGTTGTGCCTTGGGGTTCGATCTAGGGCACCGCAGGCAGTTGCACGGCGACTATTAAGATACGCAGAATGCGATTGCTGACAAAGGCAATGGAGACTGGAGCGGCCACTTCTGACCTATCAGCTGTCATCAACCAGGCCTACTAGTCCACAGGGCATCTGGGGCTCAGACCCGCGAACTGTCGGTTAAAAGTCCAATGCCGCAACCATTGAGTCGCGGGCTCGGCTGCGATTGGTTGAAGCAACATAGGCCGCAGGGCACTCTCCCGTCTGATTGACAATCATGAATACTACGCGGCTATTCCACCGATGCCAACGGCTCTGCGCAGCCATAACAGATGACGGGGACGACTCTTAACGGAAGGTTAGCATTGAGGTTTAGAATGCTCTGCCTGCATATATCATCACGTTCACATCCGTCGAGGCTTTTAAGCGCAAGCTGAATCAGTATACCCCTGCACACCATAATGTCACCCGATGGACATCGTCTTAGCATCCCGTTCTGACAACTTATAATCGTTATAGTGTTACTGTCACGATTTCAGTAACGTTTGTTTTTAATTTACTTACTGACCCGCGTTTATTGCACGCGATGTTGGCATCCACTTCGTCTCCCTCAGGTAACTGAGATCGTACCAACTTTATACAGCACAATTATCACAACCTGACTGCTGCACAGTGCATTTAGCAGTGTTTGTGTTTATAGTACCTGGAATAGTTCGTTCGTCTGTACAGCTTCGGTAATTCTTCTTTAGCCGTTTGATGTTCCCGTTTTCAAATTTTTGATATACCTCCGTACCTTAAAACAAATACGGAGTTCACAAGGTCAACACCTACGCTTCCCTTAAATAAACTGGACTGAGCCATCCAGAGTGCGTTTCTTTTCATAGGGGAAGCGCACCCTGTGCCGCTGACCGTCGTTTCTCCATGTAAATATTCACTATTGTATGCTACGCCTTTGAGCGTCGTCCGGCCTGTCGACTACCACGAAGCATTGCAACCAACGCCAAAATCTCGCCTCGTCCCAAAATTTGTTAGTCGTACTCCTCTCGGCAATCGTAAGGGCCAAACAATGACTGCAGTTCGTCTATGTCGGGAAAAAGTCGGTTTCTGAGTGCCAGTCACAGTATTGGCGTCACTCGATCGGTCAATGATGATAGCTACTTCAACACAGCGAAGAGACTCTGGTACATAATGTGGCCTTATGATCGGGAGAGTGTCACATCCTGATCACTTTGTGATAGAACCTTCTGTGTGCTAAATTAGTACTCTCTCATACGAAAAATTCGATCGATCTGCTCGATGTTGTCGAAATTCTAGCCAAAACGGGCGACCCTGTAATTGTGGAACATACTGCTAGAATCACGCCACAGGCTACTGTGAAGAAGGAGGAGACTGCTGCGATGCACGGTACGACATAGGACCATCAGCAAAATACTCATCAAGCCCATGAAAAACAGATGTCTTTTTTGGACAAGAACGTATATTCTTACAATAAAAGTGGAATAAAAAGATGCGAAAAAAGCAAAGTTGTAAAAAAGGACTTCAGCTGTTGTAGCTCTTTAGGTTCCCCAAAATAATGTCATCATCTTTATGTTCGACAGATCCACAGACTCCTAAAATAAATATCAACAGATAATTAAATTAAATGGAAAATGAAATAGCAAGTAGAGTGCGGAGGGGAGCACTTGTGGACAAAGAAGTGTATATTAACTGTTATCTGAAAGCAGTGGTTTTTAAACTAATCCTTGAGGTAAAGAGGGATAGGGGAAAAACGGCGCTGACAGACTGAGGCCCTCTTCCACCGAGTTAAGAGGCAGCCGATCAAGCAACAGCAGCATATTTTTTTCCTTCCATCGCTGGACTCTCATCTTACTCAGGGATTTGGTCGTGCCTGGTCTAGTCAGCATCAAGTTTCACGGAGTGTCTTGGAATTTTTCAGAATTCGCGGGTCCCCGACAGCCACCAAGCACGGTGAAATCAGTCGTGTTCAGTGGCTATGGGGGATACACAAACACATCTCAACATGCCTGTTCGCTCATAGGACTGACTACCAACCACTGTCTCGGGCGTACGTTAAGTGACAAAGTTCAGGAGAGTCACTGGAAGAAACATTTGACATTGCATGTTTTTTTGAGTGGAAAGGCGCGCAGGGTGGGCGGCTGGCGGTGGGAGCACATTCAACTCTTCACCCAAAAGTTTTCCAAACTCGGTCACTAAGAATCACCCAGAAATGACTTGATAAGCGCGAGTGTAAAGGCACCCAGAGCTGCCTACTAATAATAGGCACATTGGTCAGTATCCTCATACATAACAGAGGAGGCAGTATCGTCCATTATAATCGTTCAGCGGGAAAGCACACATACCTAGGAAACTTGAGTCTGAAGGCATCAAAATTTCAACTTCTCAAAGTGTCAAATTTATTGGCTTTTTAAAACTAGTACTTCAGTCAAACTTTCCCTCGCCCTCCCCACCCCCAAGCTGCTTGCAAAAAGAGTGGACACGATTCGTCGAGGCAGTGATTCTACATGACGCCAGATGCGAGGGGTTCAGCTCATCGCTGGGTTCTCCAGTGTTTACCCTGCTGTTCATGACAAGCAATTACTCCGATTTTCCAATGTTAGGTCTTTACCTTCGATAGGAGTTAATGCGAGCATGTCGTTCAGTTCTCGAGGCAACCAAAGTCGCATTTGGCATGAAAACTGACATGAATGCCTAACTCGTAGTGCATCAGCTCCGGTGCAATAACCATGAAGTACACGCGAAGAAGGTTGGGGGACCTGACACTGTAGAAATTGCAAAGAAACGCCAGTAGGGTCTCTGTGTGTACTCCACTGAAATACCTTCCTATAAAATGCCATTTTTGTGTACTTAGACAAAAATGCCGCACAAATACGCTTTTTCCCTTTTTATGTATTTAAGAACACAATGTCCCACCTCCCAAAGGCTCCCATTACTATCATTTCTGCGTTGCAGGTGGCTTTGAGCCATGTCCCTATACGACCATTACTGTGTTGGCAACACGATAAAATGCCTACAAAGAAGGAATTAAAGAACTATTGGTACAGGGGCGGCTCACCGATCGTACTACGTGACCTACTCGTCCCGTTGTGCCTTGGGGTTCGATCTAGGGCACCGCAGGCAGTTGCACGGCGACTATTAAGATACGCAGAATGCGATTGCTGACAAAGGCAATGGAGACTGGAGCGGCCACTTCTGACCTATCAGCTGTCATCAACCAGGCCTACTCGTCCACAGGGCATCTGGGGCTCGGACCCGCGAACTGTCTGTTAGAAGTCCAATGCCGCAACCATTGAGCTGCGGGCTCGGCTGCGATTGGGTGCAGCAACATTGGCCGCGGGGCACTCTCCCGTCAGATTGACAATCCTGAATACTAAGCGGCTATTCCACCGATGCCAACGGCTCTGTGCAGCCATAACAGATGACGGGGACGACTTTTAACGGAAGGTTAGCATGCCGCTGTGCATACGAGTCTTGCGAACCCGCGAAAGCATGCATATTCCTTCACTCGGGGGCGTTTTAGGTGTCCAGTTGGTTGAGCAGTTGCTGGGCGGACAGGATAACTCTTCTTCGCCTTTTCATGGACGCGCAATATAGAGGTTGAGAGTGGAAAAAATAAAAACGATAATCCAAGGTTTGAAGCAAAGCCCCGTGAAAGCCATACCCCTCACCATAGTAGCAGCTTGACAAACCGCAAAAGGGGACACGTCAGTGCGACGAGACTGTACCTAATGCGCACAACTTTACGTGTTGGGCCAGGTGCGATGCCGTCAGGAAACTGCCTGTACAATGGGGGCAACGGAGGGGGTGGTCGGCTGAAGGGAAAAAATACACAATGAAAATTTCGACAGAAATAATGCAAATAGGTCCAACGCACAATGTGAATTAAGAGGGTCATGCTCGTCACATGCTCACACGACAGTTCGACCGTCGTTGTCAACGATGTCCACCGTGTGCTCCACACCAAAGCGCAACAGGCACAGTGACTTGCGTGTGAGTTAGTCTTTAGTGATCGTAGACTTGCGTTGTATCTAGCGCACTCCTCCTCCTCCTGGACCCAGTGTCGGGACAGAGTCAAGAAGACCGGAGACGGAGAAGGGGGCAGAGAGATGGCGCGGACGAGTCCGCACCTTAGCATTCCACGCCACACTCCTGCTCCACACAGCAAATAAGCAGGTTTTTGACCAACAACAACAACAACACCCCAGCAGGGGTCAGAAGGACGATGATCACTAGGCAGCCATACCCACCACCTGTGTACCTGGCGGGGGCGTAAGCGCATCTTCCGGCAGGGAACCAGGTGTCAGTAAACTGCCAACGCATACCAGGCTGCGACGGCCATGGTTTGCGGATATTGGCATAGCACACGCTTTCAGACCTTTTGACCAAGACGGGCGACATGCGGTCATGAATTTAGCGTGAGCAACCAAACAGTCGTCAAGTGAGAGGCACTACCCATAATATATGCTCACACACACGCAAGGTAGACACTCATTAGGTCCCTCAATTACCAGACACGTACACACTCACACGACTGGTAACATATACGATATATGAGTATGCTATTTGAAATAAATAAGTAGACGTTCGAGTTTAACCTTTTTCGACCAGCGGATAGCTGTTTACTCTTTGCGTGCAATGATGTAAACAATATCTTTTTCCGAATTTTCTTGCTCGTCAGTGCTTTTTCTTAGATATTTTGTAACCAATAGGGAGTCAAAAGGCGTTCGTCTATATTTAAATTAATACAACTGAAGTAAATTGAACCGGACACCATGCAGATATTTGAAGTAAATAATTTCCCGAGAAAACCATTACTTTGGCTATCGAAAACAACGATAACCACTATTACCACGGAGGCAGCAGAAGCTTGCGCGTGACTCGGGATGAAGTGCAAAGCCCACACTCCCTCATTGACGTGAGCTGTATATGTTCCACATTGTAATGAAAGCAGCTGCAGCGAAGACCTTAACCCCTAGGATCCCCTTATACCACCAGCTGGCAGTCACGACAGGCAAGACGTCCGATTTTTTATGGCGAAGACAGTCCGATTTGTACCGGCCTCATTCCCTCCCATCTCACATTGTGCATCTATTGTGGGGCTGGCTAGGCGTGGCTGGCAAAGACCTCAGCCGCAATGGTTGGCCTGATACTTCGCCCCCGTCTATAGCATGTCACACGAGTCCGACTTCATGGGATAACTTCTCCAATGCCAGAAAGGGTTTGGTCTGGTCTTAAGCCCGACGATATAAGACAATATAATCAAGAATAGCCAATGACAGTTTGACAGTCACAAGCGATAATATTCGCCGCGGAGTGGGGACAGCACCGGTATCCCGCACGTAAAAATTAGTGGGACAGACTTTCGCAGCATCTACCGCACTCCCCACAATACCCACCTTGTTCCGGTGACAAGATAATGTCACGACCACTGGAGGCGGGTGAAGTTGCAGTGGCTGACGGCATCTCTAAGCCTATCACGAACGACAAGGTCCCAATTTTATGTGACAGGGTACTGAAAGGGCGGTTCAGATCTTGTAAGAGTGAGAATGCCAAAAAGGCCACATTGAAAAGGAGCCATTGTGGCCCGACTCTCGGGCCTTCAGTTACTCAAAAGAATTTCCATGGAGACAGTTTTCCACTCTGTTGGCAGACCTCCATGTCACGATTTATAGCGCGTCCTGATAGACATAACCGCATTAAAATTACTATGGCGAAGAGTGCGATGAGGTGCGTTGAGTGTGGATGTATCTCCCGGTGTAAGTCTCATTAACTCTTCTCGCCTCCGGGCACCAGTCCACCGGCTGAACCTGTCAGGCATCTGGTGCCAGGATTCGATGTTGTGGCTGATAGAGCTGTAGGGGGTCCTTCGGCGAGCGCAACGCACGAACACATCGGAAGAACCCCCCCATGGGGTCCCCGATCCCCATTCACGTCCCTGCAGATTGTCTTTGTGGGCGGCGACAGCCGCAAGAAGCGGGAACGCTTCCGTAAGCGGACTACACAGGTAAACGCAGCTCCGGACTGCAGTTTCAATGGGCTGTGAGCCAGGCTTATTTGTTTGTTACTTACGTACTCACTCACTTCTGGTCATCGACTTCAACTGTATATTCATCCTATTCATTTCCCTGATCGATAGCGGTCCAGCCGACGCTCAGTAATCTACCCCGGAAATGATAGATTTTAAAGTATGCTCATCATACTTATCTGTTTGATGGGAGCGCACACCATACAGCCGCAGAAAAAGAAAACGTGGTAACTTTATGGGACAATATAATGAGGCTTTACTTCTGTTTACATGGCATTGTATTTAGTCATAATGACGCATGGTCTAACATTTGCGCGATTTAGGGCTTAGTACGAAATGTACAACTTAGAACTGTGCATGTTTGTAAACGATGACAGCTGGATGATGTTACCGTTCTCGCGGGCATTGGAAACCCCATTCAAAAATGGCATCGGAGTGGTGTTGGAAGTTGCCGCGTGCAGGGAATACAGTGTGGCCTGGGTGTTGATTTCAAAGGGGGGGGGGTTATTATATTTCAACCTAGCCCTCGGCTGCCTCAGAATGTGCATGGTTTTTGGAGGGAACATGAGGCGGTGATGAGAGATATTAAACGATCCTACTTATTGTTACGCCGTTTGCTCTCTCACAGTCAAAATTGGACACAGTTCGACTTTGCCAATAGAAGCAAAGAGACGAGTCCCAGGAAGTAGTTTTGAAGAAGGAGACACGAGCGCTGGGACAAGAGCTTTATTAGTCTGAGTTACTGAGCCGGGAGCTACTTGAACCATGGTCTACTGGCCCCCAGTCCATAAACAAGTGCAATGAGCTTGTCCTTCCATACTCGGTGCTGAGACTTCGCCTAGGCGGAGTAATTAGTGGTAATTCGGAAGATTAAAAACTCACCTCTGTGGACGCGGTCAATGTGCCTATAGAGATAGCGTCGCTGCTTAAATCGGATTCCGCAGATTTCGCACTCATAGGGGCGAAGATCTAAAAGAAGGGAAGCAGACCCTATGCAGTGCAATAGTAGAGCGAGAATGGCCACAGAAACCCTCCCCAGAGGCCTTTGTTGTCCCCCTTCTTGGTAGTTATCGTGAACTTGCAGATGGGAAAACACATTTTGGTTGGTAGGAAGAGGCTAGAAGTTCATGCGACTGGTTACTCTTACAAATGGTGACAATGGTGGTGGAACCAAAATGTAACTCGATATCAACAGGCAGATAGAAATGAGTGGTTATTGCTGACAGAAGCGAACGGGTGAGTTCCAGGTAGCAGTCCAGAAGACGAAGATGCGATCACTGGAACAAGAAATTTATTGGCCTGACGTTTCGGATTCTCACTCGAATCCATTATCAGACACTCGCAGACACGAAAACGACGTCAGAGACCAAATCCAACCGGCCCCAAATTTTGGCGGGCTGCTCGAGTCATGGTTCTCAGGCCCACAATCCATCAAAACGCACAATGATCTCCCGGTAACATATTCCGTGCTGAGATATTCCTCCGGCAGGGGAATCAGTCATGTAAGGAGGGCGCGGGCGGGCAATTATCCTAATGACAGTGAGCCAATTTGCCAAGCAATCGTCACACCAGCATCCAACACGGATGACGAAATCACGGCAATTAACGACTCGGACTCGGACTGACAAGCCACCACCGCATCAATTACGACCTCAGCGGTGATTACGAGAGCTGTTAATTACAGTGCGCATACGGTCCCGCGGCAGCCACGTGCTATAAATACTGCGCTGCTTGTGTCACCATCACCTTTATCTGCGAATCTCTCTGATGATGGATTTGAGTGAGAATCCGAAACGTCAGACCAATAAATTCCTCGTTCCAGTGATCGCATCCTCGTCTTATGAGTGGTTATATTGCAACTGAGGGATAAGTGCGACATCGGGAAAGTTAAGTCCTTCAGGTAGCGGCGATTCAAGATGCCTTAGACATTTTCGGCAATCTAAAATTACCAACGGGTGCAGAGCCTACAGTGCTAGATCATGATTTAGCCGGAAAACCAGATGTTTCTTGTCCTTGTCTGCTACTTGTTGATGACTGCGAGTTCTGAAATTACTGAGGCAGCAGCGTGCGTGCTTTAGCAGTCACAAGACCGCAACGAAAAGCGGCTTTACACCTCACAGCTAGCGTACCCAAACACGATAAAAGGCCGTTTATTGGTTGAAGGGACCCTCACCGATCGTTCTTCCGGAACTCACTCGTTCCGTTGTGCCTTACGGGCTCTTTCTCGAGCCCAACCAGCAGCCGCACAGCGGCACATGATATAGGCACAATGTCGGTAATAAAGACTGTTTAGTCAAAAATATGTAAATTTCAGTCAAGAAGTAGGCAAAAGTACAGCATACAACACTGAATGCAACCCACTGTAATACTGAGCTGTTAATCAATATCCAAGAGGATGGAGTTGAAAAAACAGCACTAATTGTGCTAGGGGCACACAAGCGGCTAGTAGAGAGCACTGGATGAAGTGCGAGCGGGGTGGGCCAGCAGCAAATGAAGACCAGTCAGCAAGTGGCATCAGTGTCCGCACCACCTGGACCGCCGGAGACGGTGCACATCAGGCAGGCCATCATGGGAGTACGCTCCTACAGTGAGCACTGCGTGGCACTGATTTTAATTCTCCCTATTTGCCTGGTAAGGACAACCGATGCACACCTGACACAACAGGGTACTACTATCTATCGTGGCTAAATCAGATTTTTGGTACACTGGGATACTCATATGCGATAGATGAGGTCATCATCCAAACAGCACACGATAGTTCGACGATGTCCACCGTATGCTCCACAGCAGGGTGGGAGCAGGGACGGTGACTTGTGCGAAAATTCCGTTTGTAATGATAGTAGACTTTCACAGCATCTACCACACTCTCTCCTCCCCCACCTGAACGCGGTGTCAAGACAGAGTCAAGAAGACCGGGGGCGGCGGGGAGGGCGCAGGTGGACAGCACGGTCGAGCCCGCACCTTGGTGTCACACTCTACACCCCCTGATCGACAACAACAATGAATGGGGGGGGGGTGGCAGGGTCCCAGTGTGCGCGACGTACGCCGGCAACCGGGTCCGCCACCGCATCCCGAAATGTTGGCATTTGTTATGGCACGCAAATCCGATAACGCCTGCCAAGATCCGATATGGCCCCCGTGTTGGCCCAGCGCATCTGCCACGTGGACCGTTTGGGGGGAACACATGCATACACCCCCTAACATTGTATATTCCCGATCGAAACCGACACGGTAACGGGCTCGTGGCCCGGTGGTTAGAGGCGTGGACTTCTAACAAACAGGTCGCGAGTTCGAGCCTCGGGTGTTCCACACTTCGGGATTGGGTATGACTGGCTGACGGCGGCTAATAAGCCAGAAATGTCCATTCCAGTCTCCCTTGCCTTTGTCGTTAATGACATACTGCCTATATCATGCGCCGCTCTGCGGCTGCTGGTTGGGCTCGAGAGAGAGCCCGTAAGGCATAAGGGAACGAGTGAGTTCCGTAAGAACGACCGATGGGAGCCCCCTACCATTATACATACACACATACACATACGCACACATAAAAAAGACTACTTACCATCGTGGACGTCGGCAACGTGGCTTTTGAGACTTTTATTATTTTCAAAACTCACGTGACAGGTTCGGCATTCATAGGGGAGATGTTCTGACCCAGCGAGCGGGGGGAGAATGAGAGAGAAATAAAACAGTGGACACAGCATCAGCAAAGTAACTGCAGTAAAAATAAAGAACAAGTGCACTGGGGTCGAGGGGGGGGAAGAAATCATACCTACCAAGGTGTACGATTCGCATGTGTCGCCGAAGGCCGTTATCAGTCAGGCAGACGCGTCCGCACATCTCGCAGGGGAAACTGGGGAGTCCTGCAGAACACAACACAAGTAGCGTGGGTGAAAACGCGCACAGGTATAGGCGGGCGTTGCACGTCCAAACCTGCATAAAAGAGCAGGTTGGAGGAAGAAACGGAACAACCAGGGGTACGAGGAACACTCCCTCCCCCCTCCTAGACAGCAGTCAGTTTATTGGAGGACCGAGCAGCCCACATGTGTCAATTTCAATGGAAAACTTGAGGAACAGCAGTAACCGGAAAATGATGACCTTGACTCCATCTTCTACCGGCAGCAGCGACAGCGAAAGCAGGCACTATGTGAGAGGATTTGCCGTTATGTCCCACAACAACCAGACTAAAACCGACAGGACAACGGGCCCGTGGCTTAACGGTAGTGCCAAACTCCATAACCAAAATCCCGAGTTCAAATCTCAAGTTATCCAGACTTGGGGTTAGGTATGACTGGCTGATGACGGCTGATAAGACAAAAATGACCATTACGGTCTCCCTTGTCTGTGTCGGTACCATCTCATCTACATCTACTACTAGTCGCTGTGCGACTGCCTGCGAGGGTTCTAGGATGAGCCCCAAGGCACAACGGAACGAGCATGTTCCGTAACCTGATCGGTGAGCGCTCATCTGTCCTAACTGATATTCCCGATCACAACCGACAGGACAACGGGCCCGTGGCTTAATGGCAGAGTGTCAAACCCCACGACCAAAGATTCCGTGTTCGAATCTCAAGTGATCCACACTTGGGGTTAGGTATGACTGGCTGATAACGGCTAATAAGCCAGAAATGACCACTCCGGTCTTCCTTGTCTTTGTCGGTACCATCTCACATACATCAGTATGTTAGTTGGCTGTGATAAATTCCACCTGGTTAGCAAAGGGGCCAGTCATTCACAGCCAAGGATCATCCCATGTGGAAAGCGTGTTCACGTTGTTAACTGCGCCTGACATGCTTTACTCTCACCATCTCTCTGTCCCCTCCTCTCTCTCTCTCTCAAGCTCGCCCTTCTTTTTAATTGGCTTGCAAAGTCTTTCGATACATATTACTAGCCAAATCAACGGGCCACATCGCCGATATACGAAGGAAATTAGTAGAAACGCGTGTGCTTTCTCATTCTGGGAAGTGACAATCGGCCGAAGAGACCAGCATATAAGAGAACTCCATGGTTACTTATCCTGAAGTCACTTGGTTGCCTCGTCCTTTCATGTAAAAACTTCTCTGCTCTAGCTCCCCGGTCAGGATATACGATTTCAGACAAGGAAATTGCATGCAGACACAACTTCCTACTGATAAAACAACTCGTAGGCGCTCAGGTGAAGTTATATGACGTAGGCTGCAGAAATTTCCAAAAATTCCTGCTGTCAAAGCATCCACCGGTCTCAATGCTGCTTCAGCATTTTGCCCAAATTGTTTATGCGCGAAAAAGTCCTCCCACTTATAGCAGTCGAATGAAGCCGGCGTTGTAAAGTTGGCCTTAAAGGGTGCTTTAAGACTGCTTACTGGTCGTTCAGACAAGGGTCTGATGGGAGACTTCTAGACAAGGAGGATCAGATTCAAACAGGATCATGTGTTCCGAATAGTTACACAGCAACTTCACGACAGGTAGGTATATTCAGACTGTTTACGATGAACAGCAGCAGCCTGGGATTTCAAAAGGTCAGGTTGAAGTTGCGATGGTGGGTAGGATTTTCGAACACCATTGTATTGTATGAACGGGTTAACAGGATCCACGATAACGATCGCTGCTCCCCAACCATTCTCAACAAGAAATAGAAAAAAGTCCCTTTATTTACGATATCATACACCAGTTCCCAACTGTAAACTCATCCGGCATAAACAGCCTGTAGATTAGGGCATGGCCGTCCCAGGTGAAAGACTTTAAAGGTTAGAAGACAGGCGACGCTTTCTAACCTTAGTTTCCCTCCAGTCTGTGCGAGGTAGCAATATTCTAGGTCAATCCAGCTTATATTTGCCCCTACAACGGGCCACGCAATAAATGCCCTGGACCAACACAGGAGTCAGATGGGAACCCCGCAGACGTTATCGGAGATGCGCACTGATAACAAGTGCCAACATTGCGATGTGGTGGCACGTCCAGGAGTCGATTCACTCCGTGCCAATTGGGATCCGTGCGTCTCCTACTCTGGTGATGGTGTAAAATTCTGGTCAGTGGCCGTTTTGGACCAGCGTGTGTGATGGCACGCCAAGGTGCGGGTTTTCGCCACACCAGCAACCTCGCCCTCTCTCGCCTCCGGTCTTCTTGACCCTGTCTTGACATCGAGCCCTGGTTGGGGAGAAAGGAAGAGTACGTTATATTCAACTCAAATCTACTATCGCCATAAGTCACGTAAATCACCGTCCTCGCTTTCATCCTGCTATGGAGCACACGGAGGACATCGTCGAAATAGACGATCGAACTGTCACGTGGCAAGAAAATGTGACCAGCCATCATTCTCAGACGACGGCTAGTATACGGTCGTCCATGCCGTCGAAGCTTATGCCGGCCTCCACCTCGTCTGCCAAGAGGTTGGGTGGGAAAATAGCGGTCGATGAAGTTGTCATGGGGCACACGAGGTAGGTAGCCAAAATGGGCGAACGAGCGAGGCTTCAAGGCTGCATTCTCACGAAGCATCATCAAAACTGTGAATTTTCCTGAGCCAGTGACACAATGGAGTTAGGCGGGCAAGCGCCTGTACGCAAGTGGAAATATTAACATTCGAATACCGCACGATGTGATCCTCTTGTCTGCTGGCTGACAGAGTGATCCGGTTGAGTCTGGATGCTTTGCAGGAAACACATCCACACCAATGGCACCTCAATGGGTGGTTCCATACACAGTCACCTCGAGCTGCATACATAGCTGAACTCCTACTGTCCGGGGCGGTGTTATGTTTTGTTAGCGGCCAGCAGATCAGTACTGATTAAACCCTCCTCCACAGTCAACCCCGTTGTAGTCTTTGCTGTTGTAAGCAGTGATGTAAGTGAAAATGTCCATTCTAGGGTAGTGAAAGCAAGTCTACCTATAGACTAGGTGGGTACCACGGGTCGGGCACGGGGAAAGAGGAAAAAAAGAGGCAGGGCAGGAGCATACGTGAGTTGGTGACCTCATCCTGTTGCTGCCAGGGTGTGAAGGAAGTGGGCCACCGCTTGCCGCAATTGTTACAATTAAAGCTTCCCAGAGCTGAAATAAAAATAATAAACTTTAGGCAAGCGTTACTAGTGCTAAGTCCTAGAAGCTGCAGAAACTGCATAAAAATCGTTCCTATCGATCACAATCAAAAAAATGTATGGGGAGTAATGACTCGAGTTGACTAAAAACCTTGGCAGTTCGACTGCCACGAACGAAGACTTCTACCGTGTGCTTGAGTGGGCGTGACACCGGTGACTAGCGCGTGAATTCGTTAAATAACGAGGCAGACTTTCTCCGCGCCTACCGCACCCTCTCTTTCCTCATCCGCCCTTAGAGAAGACGAAGAAGAAAAAGAGGCGATTTCATGAACTACACTGCGTTTTAACCGACGTTTCGGAAACTCCCTCGGCCCTATTATCAGAGTTGTGAGGTGTTTGTTCCTGTTAGCCCAGAGTTATTCTGTCTCGTGTTATAGGCATGCCTGATGCACGAACTCTGACCTGCCTGCTTCGGTCTCTCCGTGGCCGACCGCTGGAGCGCTCGTGTGACCTCTGTCCCCCGCCCGGCCGTCGTCGCTGCTAGGTCCGTGTGCCTGTGGGTACTCCCCTCATAACCTGATTGGCTGAGCAGCTGCCGTCGCATGTGTGAATCGCGTTCGGCTGTTTGGGTGCGTCGGTGGGTCGGTGAGTCGATGTCTCGCGTCGGTCGTGTGACCCCCCCCCCTCCCCCGGGCTGGCTCTGAAGGTGACAACTACTGAGAGCCGCGATTTGTTCGCCAGTGCTGTCGGCCCCATCTGGACTGACTGGAGCCTCGTACGTAGCGCCTGGTAAGCCGGATGAAGATCAATGTCTCTGTTGGCTGTGCCAACTGAGGACCAACTTTCGAGAACCAGTCTAGCCATCTTATCGCTGGCTCGACCGACGACGCTTGCCCCCCCCCCTCCCCCCAAAGGCGAAATTGTGTTTTTCCTGTTGTATGGAGCCATATACCAGTGATAGCTTGTTTTCTTGGTTGACTGCAAGGTGGTGTTCATGCAATCTTGTACAGAGGCGTTCGCCCGTGTCAGCAACATACCTTGGACAAACATTTTGGCAAGGTATGCCGTAGACCACTGTCGATTGTTCCGTTGCCGGTAGCTGGTCTTTGGGTCTCATTATCTGCTACGCGATAGTGGATTCCAGTTTATGGGCCACCCCAATCCCAAAATGGCTCAGGATTCCTGCTTTCGCCTCAGAAATATTCCGCACATAGGGGATTGCGAGTCATAAGTTAGGCTTCTCATCTTTAGATCTTTCGCAGGTAAGTCCTCTTATACACCCACGTTTGAAGAATCGTGGGTAACCATTGGCCTTAAAATAGGGAATGCAGGTATTTCGCCTCTTCCCTCCTCCCATCGTCGTCACTACTGCGTTCGTGACCAAGGGGGTGGTTACTCCAGTATTGGAGGATGAGTCTAGTATTTATTGCCTTTCGGTATACCGTAGTTCTGACCTCCCCATTAGCCATCCTTGTGACGTTCATGTCAGGGAAGGGCAAATGGATGTTGTTGTCCTCCTCCATTGTAAATTGGATGACGATAAGACTTCGAAGTCCTGAACGTCGTTCCTCTTGATTACGATAAATGTGTCGTCGACGTATCTGGCCCAGAATCCTGGGGAGTGCGAAAGGACGACCAGTCGTTCGAGTCTCTGCAGAACAGCCTTGAGAATCAGCCCAAACAGCGGGGAGCCCATCGGTGTTTCCTTCTTTAGCTCGTAAACCCGATTGCTGAAAGTGAAGAAAGTTCTCAGGCACAATTCCAGGAGTTCGGTGACGTGTGTTCGTTTAAGTCGTTAATCACTTTCCTCATACTTTTCCTGAAGAAGCTCGTCAATGGTGCTGATGGTAAAGTCGGTTGGAATGGAGGTGAATAAGGAGACCATGTCAAACGAAAGCATCTTCTAGATGCCTGATACTCCTCAGGAACGGTCCGGCCGACTTCACAGTCCATTCCGAATCCGCGGTCAGGAAACGGAATGTTGGTAAAGCCATTTCGACAGTCAAAGGTTTATGCACTTTTGGCAGACCGTAGAACAGCGCTATGGCGGCATCGGAGACTTTTGCGGTCATTACCTCCTTCCTCATGAGGGCCCCTGTCATCTTCAACTTGTATATCGCCCTGTTAACACCGTTCACGCGCTTCTTGAAATCTCCAGTCTCCGAAAGCTCGTAGGCAACTTCGTCCTCCTCCAGAACTTGCGGTTTCGTCCTGTACTCGGTCCTTTCCATGACAACCGTCGAGCGCCCCTTGTCGGCGGACAGGGTGATGATATCCGTCACCCTCCACATTCTCAGAAGTGCTCGGTCTTCTGCCTCGCAAGGCAGGTGGCCCATAAACCGGAGTCGATAAGATCATATTTCGTAGACGCATCTGTTAGGGGTTACGGTTAGGCGTAAGGTCAGGGGTTGGGGTTGGAGTTGGGAGTTAGGAGGATTTGGGAAACCCCCCTATTACCACCGGTCCCGTATGACAGGCGGCTGGGGCTCGTGTACTGAAGGTGCGGATACAAAATAAGACTAGACTCCTGAATTCACTATCAGGCAGCAGATAATGAGACCCCATGACCAGCTATCGGCAACGGAACAATCAGCAGTGGTCTACAGCATACCTTGCCAAAATTGTAGTGCAAGGTATGTTGGTGAAACGGGCAAACGCCTCTGTACAGGATTGCATGAGCACCACCTTGCAGTCAACCAAGAAAACAAGCCGTCACAGGTATATGACCGTATACAACAGGGCAAACACAGTTTCGCCTTTGGGGAGGCAAACGCCGTCGGTCGAGCCAGCGATAAGATGGCCAGACTGCTTCTCGCAAGTTTGTCCTCAGTTGGCACAGCCAACAGAGACATTGATCTTCATGCGGCCTACCGGGCGCTATGTACGAGGCTCCAGTCAGTCCAGATGGGGCCGACAGCACTGGCGAACAAGTCGCGGCTCTCTCAATAGTTGTCACCTTCAGAGCAGGGGAAAGAGCCAGCCGGGGAGGGGGGGGGGGATCACACGACCGAACGCGATTCACACATGCGACGGCAGCTAATCAGCCAATCAGGTTATGAGGGGAGTACCCACAGGCACACGGACCTAGCAGCAACAACGACGGCCGGGCGGGGGACAGAGGTCACACGGGCGCCCCAGCGGCCGGCCACGGAGAGATCGAAGCAGACAGGTCAGAGTTCGTGCATCAGGCATGCCTATAACACGAGACAGAACAACACTGGGCTAACAGGAACAAACACCCCACAACTCTGATAATAGGGCCGAGGGAGTTTCCGAAACGTCAGCTCAAACACAGCGTAGTCCATAAAGTCGCCTCTTTTTCTTCTTCGTCTTCTTTTACAGATTATGAAGAGGATGGTTGGTGGCGCTTGCCTATCGTGTTACGGAACTCATCCGTCCCGTTGTGCTTTGGGGCTTTCTCCCGAGCCCAACCAGCAGCCGCACACCGACGCGTGATATAGGCAGAATATCCTTACCGGCAAGACAAAGTTTCTCTTGTCTTTGTCGATAGGGGTCCAAAGCAAAGGGGCTGAACTGTAAACGGTACCAATTACCTGAATTTTCTTCCAGAATAAGCCGCCTGAGACTTCTGGACAGGTAGAATATCTTCCCACAGGCGTTACATTCAAAGCTGCCCAGATCTGCGTAAGAATAAGATGAACTTGAGAAGTAACTAATTGTAAAGGATACTTATTGATAAATGCATACAATTATTGTTCGTGAGCTTTCTGGTCGCATGAAAATGACCTGCTGTCTGGTGAAATTGTCGATGTCTGAGTAATGAAGCTCAATTTAACGATCACGTATCCTAAGGAAGAATAACCATATGCCTTATTCTCATGTCATCACGGTGCTAACAAGGATTTCAAGTCCGGCGTCCTCTGAGCCAAATATTTAGTGTACAGGTTCTACGGTTACAAGGTACTATCAACAGCCATATGCAACAAGCTGTTGGTGTCGGTGGTGTTTGGTAGAAAAACCATTTCTGCGCATTGTTGTTACGCGGAAAGGTTGTCCCCTTCGGCACCATTTACATTCGACCGAAAGAAGCAGTGTGACAATTATAGTCACCCCCTAGAAGTCTAAAAAACCATCGAGCAGCCGTTAGTTGGTCGGTTTGGTTGAGGCATGATTTCCTGGATTCGAAGGCGGACGTCCTCCAGCACATCAGGTTGCACGACTGTGCCGACGGTGAGGGAGACTCTGCTGGATGAGGGAAAACACTATTGTCGCTGCATGATGTGCGACGGTTCATTCATCAGCGACGAGGACATGCTTATTTCGCGGTTGGTATTCGCTGAGAGCCGTTTCACTTTCCTTCGATTGTGAATACACAGTGTTGCCTGAAGGCTTGCACGCTGTAGATACCCCGTCGTACGGGTGGGACATGATGGAAGTAATGATCAAAGGTGACATATTAACATGGCCATTTTGTGGTAACTGTAGATTATCCGTAAACCCTGTCCCCTTCTAGTCAAGGAGGATTGGGGCCGACACAAGGGATTTACGCTTCCGACTCTGCAGCGCGGAATTAACGCCGAAAACCATACAATTAATGAGAGATCGGATTGCGTGGGGTCGGACATTTTGAAAGTTAAAGAAGACTTTGGCGAAGATGCCTGGCATTGCTTACCAAGACATGTTCTTCGGGCGTCTTCATCTGTTTATTTCCCACCTCAGCCACTACAGGCTGATCCGGTGGGCATAACGATTGATTTTCAAGACAAACAACAGCAATATCCACAGCGGAGAAATTTAACAGTGTTGCGAATTATCATCCGTCCTCAAGTAAGCAGAGGGTGATTTCGTACGCTTATGCGGGTTGGTTGTATAGGCTGTCATTAAGGGCTACGCTGTAGATACGATGGATCACAACGTGGGTTAGACTGGGGTAAAGCGCGCGCTAATTGGGCCAGACAGAGTCCGCGCATCCCATGTCTGTCGCAACGCAGGGGGTGGCACGCCCAGGCGGAGGCTCACTCCGCACCAGCCGCTTGTGCTCGGTCGCGGCACCAGATTGTAGACAGGCTCAGAAGGCCGATTGATACAAGGGAGAGAGAGAGAGAAAAGAGAGCGAGGTCGAGTCTGGAGAACCCATCCTCATGGCACTCCAGAGAATTCAGCATTATAATCAATCTGACAGGTTAAGATTCGTAGCTTGGGGCGCTGCCAACCGGCTGGGTAGTTCAGATCTCTCCGGACTGGGAGTCAGACTGTCATGGCTCCCTCTGCTCTGTGGCACTCTCATCCAGATGGGGTTCGAGCTACGCTCTTGCTGCTGGGAAAACATGTTCCATAGTGCGCAGGCATGGCGTGTATGGCACGCGTGGATGGGGTGTTTAGCCGCTGCGCCCGATCTCGTCTCCGGTCGTCCTGAATCTGTCTTGTCGTCGCGCCCAGATGGGCGAGGGAGGAGGGGGTGCGGTAGATGCTACGCAAGTACACTATCCCTAAAAACTAATCCGCGCGAAAGTCAACGTTCTTTGCGCGCCAAGCAGTAGGGGATACTATCGTTCGCGATGGCCGAACCGGGGGGCTGGCTGTTAAATGCAAAAACCTACACATAAGGCAAGGACTTTGGAGCTGACAGGACTAACAGGAAAAGGAAAAATACGAAAAAAGCAGACTGACTGTACCTGTATGCACACTTTGGATGTGGTGTTTGAGTTTGTCTGGATTGAGGTACACTCTTCCGCACGCTTCACATTCAAAGCTGCCGACAACTAGATAAGGGAGATAAACTTATATTAGGTGATGAGCAGAATGAGATTTCTGGCGGTTAGTTGGGTATTGAGCTTGCAAGTGAAATGACACATTCTCGAGTACACTTATGTCTACCACCATATTTAGGGAGGGGGTCCTCCGAAAGGCCACAATACGAGGAAGCAGATGAAGATTGTCAAGTCTGCTGCAGTGTGCCGCCGCTATAACTTTGACGACCAACCTATTAACCGACAGATATCTCCTGGCTCTGTCTGTCTTTCTCGTTCCTACCGTGTCTGTTTTTCAGACGGCAGCGTTTGCGATCAGGTTAGCATGGTGAAAACGCAGTGGCTGAGAAGAATTCACCCGGTAGAGAAGGAAGCGGGTTTTGGGACTAGTGAAAGCACCGGCATCCAAGAGACCCACTGCCTGCGGTTCCCTTTTGTGTGAAATCCCCGTACTTGTGCTTGAAGGGCCAGGTCGAGCGTATGTGGCATGCGCAGACGAGGTCGGTAGCTATGTCAGCCACTGGCTCCATTCCCCGCACCAGACAACTGACCGGTTCAGACAGTGGTTGGGGCCTGGGAATGGAGATAGAGAGTGAGGTCGAAGTCTCGGCGCAGTATCCTAACAATAAACAGGCATACGCGCTTGAAGCTAAAAGTCGTGGTTTAGGAGGTTACCAACTGACACGCTAACTCGGACTACACAGTCAGTCCAGTGTGCATGTTTGTGAGGAGTGACCGACTGGTGGACTGAGGGTCAGGCTGCAATGCTCCTTCTTAATGTGGCCCCTACGGCACTCCCACTTCGTAGGATCCGAGTCGCCCCTTATTTTGTTCTAGTATAAAATTCTGGTCAGTGTACAGTGTGGACCAGGGGGTGTGGTGGTACGCCTAGGTGCGGGTTCACGCCGCGCCAGTCACCTACGGCTTCTCCTGCCTCCGGTCTTTTTGATTCTGTCTTAACGCAAGGCCAAGGTGTGGGGAAAGGAGAGAGTGCGGTGGATACACCGTAAGTAAACTATCACTATCAGTTAGTTCACGCGTAAGCCACCATTCCTGTTCTCACCCCTGTTGCGGAGCCCAAGGTGGACATCGTCGAAATCGATCGTCGAACTGTCATTGTTCGCAGTAGGACGTGAAAAGCGTCCAACAGTTCGACCGTCGAGTCCGACAATGTCCACCGTGCGTTACACAGCAAGGTGCAGCAGGCATGGTGACTTGTGTGCGAATTCGTTCATAGCGATATTAGACTTGCGCAGCGTCCACCGCACTCGCTCTCTTCCATAATCCCCACCTGGACCCGATGCGAAGACAGAGTCAAGAAGATCTGAGGTAGGGGAGGACGTTGCACGCACAGAATTCACGAAGGTGTCTGCCCGTTGGGCAACTTACGGGCTGATTTTTGAGCTCACAACTGGCAGATTGCGGGACGGTCTTCAGAGAAGAACGGCTAAGAGATCAGTAGGAGGCCATGAACTGTGCAGTTGAATTACTTTGAAGACGTGGCTGGCCACCGACCCGGTAAATCGGTAACCGTTAAAAGGGCTGCAAGCTAAAAAGGTATTATATGACTAACGTTGCCAACTGTCGAACAATGCTCCCATCGTCGTCGGCATAATCGTGGAGTCGAGTGGCCTGAAGGGGTGAATGGAGGCGCTCACTTACAAGAATACAAAACCACAGGAAACTATCACCCAATCGAATGGCACCATGTAATGTCTCAGTCAAGCTGCAAATAGATGGCTATGCTCTTCGTCCTTTTCTCTTCCTACGGCTGGACGTCCAGAAGGCCAATGCCGCTGAAGGGAAGTACATTCCATCGCGTTCGGCTAAACAACCGTCACGCACAGACAAATGGCTTCCTGCGAAACATCAAGCCTCCAGTACGCGTTTTCGCACCCGGTCGGATAGTCTGACTTAGCTGAACTCCAAGGCTGTTCTTGGGAGTCGCTCTGGGATCGAGGCATATCCCAGACAAACACTGTCATGCCTGCAGCAGACAATAGCGTACTAACGAAAGCATGGCACCGTAACTTTGGAAACAGTTGTTTTTTCAAGAACATAAGGAATGATCAATTCACGGGCGATAACAGAGAGAAAGCAATATCAAATTTTGACTTACAATAAACATATTGACCCAACTGTGAAAAATCGGCGCCTCGTTGGGATTCGAACCCACGCAGTAAGGGAAAGGCTTTAGTTCAGCTAACGATCTAGCCACTTGAGCTACGAGGCCCCGCCGAACGACGCGAGTTTAATCACAGTTGGGTCAAGTTACCCGCCCAACTTACTTCAACGTCTGGAGTCCACCAAATCTGATACAGTAAGTTGATTGGCCAAGCAGGATTTCCTAAGTAATTCACATAGAATCCACCAGATGACTACCAGGCTCACGTAATTCCTAGATGTTTTGGCAGATTTTGAATAATTCATGTTGACCCAACTGTGGAAAACTCGGTGCCTCGGGGGGATTCGAACCCACGTAGTAAGGGGAAGGCTTTAGTACACCCAACGCTCTAAGCACTTGAGCTACGAGGCCCCGCCGGACGACGCCGTACTAAAGCCTTCCCCCTACTGCGTGGGTTCGAATCCCCCCGAGGCGCCGAGTTTTCCACAGTTGGGTCAACATGAATTATTCAAAATCTGCCAAAACATCTACGAATTACAATAAACAGGTTGGCAAACCGTGATTTTTCATAAACAAATTCTTTTGCAAATACCGAGGACAAACTACCTGTATGTGTCACGCGGATGTGTCGATTCAGAATCCCGGTGGTAGAGTATCGTCTTCCACATTTATGACATGTATGGCGGTCCGGCGCTGGTAAAAAATATCAAAAGTTTATCAAAAATGACGCGAAAAAACGGCAAACGGGACGAGTGCAGACGAATCAAACCACCAAGAAACACGGAAACTCACGGGGAGAAACGGCAAAACAATAAGAGCAGAGAAAAAGCTAATAAGAAGAACAGGAGGGACGTAAGAAAATGGTCAGTAAAAGGTGATGGAGGTCTTTTTGGTGAGCAAAACGCGGTAGATAGGGAACTTGTCGACGGCTACGGACAAAAATTATGCTGCTGCTGATGATGATGACGATGATGAAGATGGACAAAATAAAACAAAAAGCAGGGAGGACTAATAACATAAAATCAGCATGCCTGGACTACAAAAACTGTTTTGGCACACTCCGATTTGTCAGAAAGGATATTCTGCCCCAAAGCTCGGCTAGAACTATGCACCGCGTTCATCGGCTGCAGGATCGGCTAAAGCAACCACTACATACAGCACGGCATGGCTTTGCAAGATTCAAAAGGAGCGGAAAAAAGAGAGAGAGTTGGCAGGAGCGGAAGAGAAATAGTTTTAGCTAAAAGTTGCCATTACGCAAGATTGCCATTTATTGACCCCATTTGACGTCGTAATCCCATTCTCGAATGTTCATCCTACGGTGTCGGATATTCCCTATCGCGACCATCAGGATCGTGGCTGGATGCCAAAACGCTGGGCCTGAAGACACTCAATGAGAAAAGAACCCGAGTTCAAGCCCACTGTCTGGATGAACGTGGTTGGGACAGGCCGGTTGAAGACGGCTAATAAGTTTAAAACAGACATTAGAGTGCCTCTAGTCCTTGTTGGTAGTTGTTTCTGGGAATGAATTAGTTTTGGTTACAGAAGAGAGCCGGTTACTGCCACTGTTCAACGCCGATGTGCGTAAGGTCATCTATTTCCCAAGTCCGTCAGGTGTTCTTTCATTCGTGTCGCCTAGTTTACCACCAAATCCACTAGCTCTTTCCTGCAGGGTAGCCGTGGTAAATGGCCACTAAACATGTGTAGAAAGCGAGAATGGCGTGAAGATTAGCGGCCAAATTAAATCGCGCCTGCTCACGTGTTTGTTGGCCCGTGAACGCGCTGAGTTTTCAGGTGGTATGACTTTAGGCGCGACCTGAAGGGTTTCCATGTCAGTTTCCGACATGAGTAACTGATATTTACGGAGTGTTGATAATCGGTCATTTTTGCGTTTCTGAAATTACATTCGGCTCTTCTGACCAAAATTCTGGGGAAATGAATGGCCTTATGTGTAGGGAATAAAGGTGGACTAGCAATAGGAGACCCTACCAGGACTTTCTGGTTTTATGGTTGGCATCGGCGGCTTTGGGAGGGGAGGATGCAGTCTAGCAGTCGTGTCCATCTTCTCTAGACGAAGACCTGGCTAAAAGAATAATTTGATGAATTAAGCAAAAGTCACATTGGAGTAACTTTAAGAACAAATGAAAGAAAAACCAAAAACCAACCATTATGTTCAACCAATGAATCTTATTTTCATCGGTTACTACCCACAAGGTAAATTCCCATTCAAATTTATGAACCCATTTGGCTAAGCCTTGTCCATTATATCTGCCGAACTACAGGTCTTAAAACATGTAAGGAACCATAGGCAACCATTTGGAAATACTAATAAAAACAGTAACGTGAAAGGCGTTCCTACAAAGTAGACAGTGGAATGGACCACGGACGTTAAAAGCATAAGGACCGTTTAATCGGCTAGTAGGCTTTAAGAATAAGGAGTTTACAACAAGCCAGGTGGAATAGAACAGAGCAGGGAGATAACGCAAATCGGAATCCTTCGCACGCATTGTCTCTCTTGAAGGTGATAAGATCATTTTTGGAGGTTTCCGGGTCAAAATAAACCTAGAGGTCTGGGGTGAATGTACGGTGCAGCTCGCTGGAGCCCGGTAATACGTTATAAAACAGTTTTTGCCCGAAGAAGCGTTGTGAATAGGTTTTAACTGGGGCAGCGTTTATGGAGTCCCTGGTGGATAAACGCAGACAGACTTAGATATTACTTAGGACACCAAAAATTCTTTGATATTCATATTCTACTAGTTTCGGCACGAATTTCCTGAAACAGTCTTCAGCTAGTGTAAAGAGACATTCATGCCTGTGTAATACATCTGCATAACGAAAAACTTTATTGAACTGTGACCTATTGATTAACTGGAGGGAAAAAATCGACATCTGTTCTACATCGTACTTACGCCAAGAGGACTTCGCTGCTTTGGCGCTAACCGGAAATGCACGTTATACAGGTACTACCAGGTCACCTGGAGTCTTTAACTGTTGCAGTACAAGCGTGTGGTAGGAACGCCAGCAGATGCTTTCACTCTCGACCGCGGCTCATGGAAGAAGGAAATGAACGGCCGATCTAACTTGGATTCGACGTTTAGTTTCCTTGCTGAAAACAAATGTAACTTTTAATCATAATGGTGCATTGACAGGGGCGGTTTAGGATGTTGCTAACTGACAAGACAACTCGAATATACTCGGAATTTAGGAGCTGGCTGCGATGGCCTCTTCCCAATGTGACCTTTATGGAATTCCCACGCATGTGAGATCAGGGGCTGCCCCACATAAGCTGCGCGCGGAAAACCTACACGGGCTGTTTAGCATCATAAACCAAGACCTAAGTACAATTTCAGTTGTCTTGATCATGTCTTTACACTGCAACACCACAGATGTGGGAAGAGAGCAAGTTGGAAGGCGCATAAGTCGTCCAATCAGTCAGTGCTGGGTCCTCTGAAAATTTTGGACATCATCATCTGCGTCGCTTGAACGCAGTGAATATGCTTGACAAGCTTTACGTGGACCAGACGGTCTACGACACCATGAACTATACTTGTATCAACGCCTTGACGGTCGAGAACTCGACTAACAGAATGCTCGGCAGAGCCCAACAAAGCGACGTCGTGCATTTAAACTTGTCTAAGAAATAGTAATTTTTTAATGGTACGGCAGATGTGCTTTCGCATAAAATGCTAACCGAAATTATGAAATGTGTTTTTGATTCGAAAAGATAACTAATGCAGGGTTGTAATATTAACTATCGTGCGGCATAATCCTAACATATTTCAATCAGACCAGGATGCCCGTTTTTGAAAGAGCTTCTTTTCGGCCGTCTGAAGAAAATGCATCTTGCGGAAAACGGCTACGTAAGTGACACGCATTTTTCTAACTATTTTTCCTGCCCCCCAAAATTCAAATGTTTTAAATAGGAAACATACATAAAGTATCCTTTCTGTTACTCATATTGCAAAAAATGGCGTTTTAAAACGTTATACATGAAGAGAGAGAGTATCTGCGGGTTTTAATGAGTTTCTACTAATGAGATTCTTAAGACCGTGAAATGCCCTTTCATACAGCATCGCATCGGCACGTTTAGTAACGCTACTTATAAAGTATACGTCATGGTCTGTATCCACTGCGCAACTTCATAAGTCCTGGATGACCTCTTCATAACAGCGTAAACGAATGTATACAGCACATAGTTTGGAAACAACAACAAGTGTTCGAAAATTGAGGTTTTTAAAACCGAAAGATGCTCCCCCTTAAGGCAGAAAATTTGAAAACGTCAAGCAAATAAGTATAAGAGAGAGTAGTTTTGTGGATGTTTCTTGTGTCATATAGTCGAATTTATAAGGCAATGGGAAACCAAGGTAAAAGTTTATTCTTTCTTATAGACTGCAGTTCCTGCAGGCGGCCGGAAAGAAGCTCATCCAAAAAGCGGCATCCTGACGTGATTAAAATGTCGTAGGACTATACTACACGATAACCAATATTACAATTCTACCTAAATAAGCTTTTCCAGTCAAAAAAACATATTTCAGAATTTCGGTCAACATTTCACGAGATAGCCCACCTACTGCAGCTGTGAAGCGGAAAGTCACCATAACCGTCAGGAGCAGGTTGTCTGTCGCAACGGAGGGACAGAGGGAAACGACGCGTCAGTTGGACTTGCGTGACACCCACCTCACCCTCTTCTCCCACACCCAACATGTCTCAATGGCAGGACGAGTGATAATTGATGTGGATATGACGGCCGACCCCACGTAAAGCATCCTTCTGTGAGTGCATACTAGCCAACTTTCAGACCGATCAGGACTCTCAAGGGTATGAGATGACGTGATGAGATGAGGCATAAACCGCATCCTGACCCTCATTTCAGAAAAGGCGAGGGAAGATTGTCACGTAGCAATCCCTCAATGCACTACCTCTAACGTTCTCATTAAACCGTGAGTTATTTTAGTGATGAAGTGGGCGCCCGGCCGGACTCACTACCACCGCCTTCGCTTATCCAGTACCAGTTACAGGAATGAGCCGAGTTAAATGATGAAAAGATCGAGCACTGGTTTGCATGTCATAGTCACCCCAAACACATGTGGCACCTTTTTAGTGGCCTTAATGTCTGCCAGTGTACTATGATGAAACGAATACCGGTAAGTTAAATCTGTCCAACAAACTGGCCGTGGAACAAACAACGCATTTGAAGGTGGCGAAAAGTGGGACATCCATCGGTAAAGGATGGCATAGACCAAGACTTCAGTCTGACGAAGAAGTGCTCGCAGAAAATGTGGCTGAACGCCCATCAGGTATACCGATTGTTTACATAGCGATTATGTAAAATTACGAGGGCTTAGCAAGATAAAAAGAAACCTCACCAGTGGTCCGGCACAACCCTATTACCCTAATAAACGAATAATACCACTATGGCGGAATTCGCTTTGAATTGAGAAGTGGCGCATGCATTGTGGCATATGCAACAGCAGGCAGGTTGTCAGTATCGACAATTTTCACGACTTAACGAACAATGCAAGTGACCTCGTCTGTTGAGCAAAAATGTACTTATATAACGTCCTTCTTGACAAGGTTGCTAGAGCCTGAACGAAATGATGCCGAACTGTTGGGAACACAAGCTAGGAGAATGGTCAACTTGACTTACGCGTCGCCATTCCACAGCTTAGAAATACAGATGTAGGTATGTATTTTACTAGTCAAGGTTTATGCTGTAGGATGTCCAAGTAGCAGATTTATTTTGTTTGAATACTTCTAAGTCGCCTCCCCGCCGCTGCATAGTGTTGAGCAGAGACGAAAATTTTAAAAAGGCTCCAGTTTTTATTTTGTATATGTCGTTGGTGGGGTATCTTGCAACGGAAAAAACGCGCATCACGCAATAGAAAAGAAATGTGAGATCGATTCTTAAGTATTTTCACGATTAAGCAGTGGCAAAGATCGGTCGACTCATGGAAGTGCTTATAATGTTTTTTTTGAGGTCGACCTCAAGACTTGAGCTATGCGAACTTGTACAGACGGTCAAAGTCCGTTCAACAAACAGTTTGTTTGCGCGGTTAGTTGTGATGGCTTCATTTATTCTTTCAAATATTGATGTACTTCAAACGCGTGTGTGGGCACACGATAATTAATTATCGTGCATTACAACAACGAACACGAAACCAGTAGTCAAACCCTTCGGACTACATAGAAGAGTTTATGCAATCCCTGCGCACGACACACGTATGAAACGGAAAAGAGGGGCGCGCGGACAATGAAAATTCTTATGCATGGATGTGACGGGAACGCTACCTAAAACGGTCAGATGCAACGCACTAGGACCTGAGACTGATTTTGCCCATTCCGCTCGAATTTCAGCCTAGTGGAAGAATCAACCACTTCCCTAGCCTATTTCATCCAAATCTAGTAGCAAGCCTTTTTATTTAACTTCTTTCAGATTGCTCGTACATGTTTTAAAACGTTTTTATTTGACTTCTTCGTGCGGTTCAACATTGGCAATTGCGCAATACTTCACCAGGCAATCCAGTCAGATCCGCCAACACAGGAAGCTACTTTCTCGACGGTGCAGTTTTACGAGACGTAAATGGTCGAAGAACCTCGATGTGCTAACAAAGAGCTCTCGTTAACCATCTGGACATTGTCAGAGAGTGGCAGAAGCGCAATGTCCGTACTGCACACCACCAAGTGTGCATTTGTACATTTAGACGAATACGTATTCTCCAAGACCTTCGGAACGTTTGTGCAGCCGCAAATGAAATACGTGATGCAGGCCTTGAGACAACCGGAGACTTACCGTCGAGCAGTTTAAAAAGAGCCCAAGGGAGAGTCACGAAAGTGGTTTGGGATTAATGTGCCTTTCCTTATGCAACCGGCCAAATAAATCTCAATCTATTTACCTTGAGTTACTGGTAACTGCCCAGGGAACTCTTACAAGCATTCAGCATAGCAAAGGGACTGAAATGCCGTCTGACTTCTGAGGAATTTTTGAGTTCGCTATCACAATGAACCGCCGAGTTTCCCCATAAAATTAAGCATTCAACAGGCAAGGCTGGATGTGCTCAAGTTCTCCTTCTCTGCCATAGTGGCTAAACCATTGCATGCCTTCCCCGTAGATGCTGTGATTCAATCATCGATAGAAAGCTTTGAAAAACTTCGACACATGAATGTTTAGGAATAATTAGGTGGATTATTTATCGAGTTAAACCTCAGAAACTCAAGCCAAATTTTTCATAAAAATATGGGCACGTTTAAATTATTTCGGTCCAGATTATTTCTCCATATACTGCACTCAAAGTTACCTTGCAAAGAGGGACCTTGAAGGCTCATACTTATTTCCCTCGATAAAATGAACTAAGTGGTCCATTCTGGTTAACACAGACTCCGATAAATCAATGTGCCAAGCATATTTAAAAGTCTTAATCTTCCGACGCACTGCGCCCTGATAGTATCAAAGGCATCAATAAAGACCGGATTTATCCTCAGAAACTTGTAAAACAGGCGATATTAAAACGCACTCCTTTTAACCTGTAAGTTGAACATGCCCTGGAATACTGTACAAACTTATCTAGCCACATGAGCGCTGTTGAGCGGACGAAAATAGAATCCATCCAACATCTACTAACCAAGAGAGTTTTAACCCCGGAACACCGGACTTTGTCGTACTAAGAACAGTGCCGGCTTACAGGCCTTGATCCATTGTGGTTTCGTCGATTACAAAATGAACTATTTTTACTATTGATGCTTTTATGTAATCGTACCTTTTGCCCGCTCACTATTTTAAAACACCTTGTCCACCCCCGACGTAACAGTCATCATTACGTCTTTTCACTTCTTCCCCGGTCGCGCACCGTTAAAAATCGTCGGTTCGTTTCTGTGGCCACAATTGTCATTTGGAATAAACTACTCACGAATATGAAAACTCTGCAGAATTATCCTTTGTTTAAGAGAACTATTACTCGTCTTTTGCATTCAGAAAAACTCCCACAAATAATGAGAGCTGAATCCATTGATTGAATGCACCGTAGCGATGGCGTTTGTGTCTCTTATCTCTATGGCCGGTCTAAACAAGGATAATTCGCTTAGCCAACAGCGACAGCTGTTCATCAATGCTTCTGCTGGGTCCAATCCTAGTTTCATGGAGGAAATTGACGATTGATAATATCCGATGCGGTGCCACTTCTCTCCTGATGGACTGTCGTCATTTCATGGGCAGTCGTTGTTTATCTCCTGAGCCCTCCATTCTGTCAAAACTATCATCCTGACTTTTTTATCTGGGGATTTTTGTTTCTTTGCTGGTCGGACGTTTGTTTAACATTTCCTGTAAATTGGCATTAAAAACTATTATTATTATCATTTTCCTCGGTCCATTCCAAAATAAATAATAAGTAACTAAATGATTTTATTAAAAGACCCTTGGGGGTCCCATCATTCACGTACAAAACGGTCGGCGAGCAGTGAAAAAACTGCTTACGAAAAAAAAATAAATGAGTATGAATGCCCTACCTTTTGAGGAGGAACAAATCTACCGTTTATTAAATGGAAAATATGCGGGTCGAACCAGACTGACCTGCATATGGTATTTTATGAGGGATTCAAAACGTAAATCGTCAAGGCTGAGCTTCCTACACCAAATGAGGTTATCCGCTTCGAAGTGGCAAGGTAAGGGAATCTAATTGCGATCGGATAAAGTCCGTCCAGAGTTCAGTCGAGGATGGGAAATTAAACGATATGGCGGTCACCAGAGCATTGAGGGGAGAATGCGACCTTGAGACCTTCACTGCATGAGTAAACTAATAGCAAATGGTGAAAGTAGAGAATTCACGCCGTGGTCGTCAACAGACTATTTCGGGTCGAAAGTAATGGTTACCATCAAGATCTGCGGGGTAAGGATTCCAAATCACGGGAGTCGGAGTGGAATTCTGATGAGTGTCGGCGATCAGCGAAACCGAGGCGGCTTATAGCGTGTACGACAACCTAGCCACGCTAATTCTTCGAGAGAATTTGTCAGGAAAGGTATCGGATTCTGAGGAGAATGAATTGCTCACCGGATCGGGGGACTTTTCAGGCTGACGTTTCGAAGAGCTGGGGCTGCTCTCCATTGTCAAAGCGTCAAGTGAAGAAATCGATCAGCATTTTTGAATAGACTGCCGCATTAGTTGGCCNGACAATGGCGAAGGTGTCATCGACGTAACGAGCCCAGAACTTTGGTTGATACTTGGTGAACACCAAGTGTTCTATCCGTTGAAGAACCACTTCAGCAATCAGCCCTGATATGGGGGAGCCCATAGGGGTGCCTTTGATTTGTTCATACATTTGTCCACCAAAGGTGAAATATGTTTTTAGGCAATAGCGTAAGAGCTCCACGAGATGTTCAGTCTTCAGGGGATTGTCTCTCTCGTTGTAGCGGTCAGCCAGGAGTTGTCTCACAACGTCAATCGCTAGTTGTTGTGGAATGGAGGTAAAGAGTGAAACGACATCAAACGATACCATGGATTCATCTGGCTCTAGTTTCAGATGTTTTAAACGTTCAAGGAACTGATTAGCAGAGACGACTGTTGTTGGCGATCCTTCTGCCAGGAACTTAAGACGAGCAAACATCCATTTTGCCAAACCGTATGTAGGAGTACCACGTAGGGAGACGATGGGTCTAAGAGGTATGTTAGCTTTGTGTACCTTCGGAAGACCATAAAACCGCGCGGCGGCAGAGT